GCTCTCTCTCAGTGATCTGTGGCCACATTTATCACACTGGTAATCCTTATTAACCGAATGTATAAGTTCATGTTTAGTGAGCATGTTTTTACTTATAAACATCTACAAAACAATGAAATTTATTATTTTTTCAAACAAAAATAAAAGAACGTTTACTTTAGGACATGTTGTACATGAATAAGGTTTTTCTAATGTGTGAATTCTCGTGTGTACTTTTAAGTAGGACGATGAGTGGAAATTTTTATTACAGACTTTACAATAATATGGTGTTTTGCCTGAATGTGATCTCTGGTGCGTTCTTAGTCTGAAAATATTTATAAATTTTGCTCCTAAAAACGAAAATTGTAAATTAAGAGCTTAGGAGTATCCAAAACATTAATACCGCAGATGTGACACGAATGTTTCTTTTCACCAGTATGAATTTTCTCGTGATTTTTCAGATTACGTCTGTTAGAAAACGTTTTTTTACAGTTTTCACACTCAAATTTTTCATTCTTGACATGTATTGTCCTATGTACCTTAAGAAATTAACTTTAGGTATGTATAAAAAATATTATACTACTTACATTTAAGTTTTCAAGTCCTGAATCTTCCCTTAAAATTATACAAACTGACAAATTATCATCATTGAAATTTACAAAACTGCCTGTATTTAATGTTTCATTTGTACTTTTTAACGGCTCTACTATATTTTTTAATTCACCATCTGCATGTCTTGCTTGTTTACAAAACCCAACAGCCACATTGAGTTTCTCTAAACACCCAGTGCATATACAGGTTGGAGAATATACATCTAAGTCAATCTAAAGAAATAATAAGCCTTAATTTGCTTGTTTTTACTTAAGTTGAGATTTGTTTACCTTTATATTGATAAGTTCACTCAAACTTTTGGCTATATTTTCGTTTCCGAATAAGAATTTCATGTTTTCTGGGGAATGTTGTGAAAGGCAGGTCCTGCATAACTTATATAGATCGGGTACAATTTGGATTTCCTGAGCCATTGGGTTAAAATTTATTGAATTTATTAGTTTATATTTTTGAATAAACTATTTGAAAAAAAAACATTAAACAGCAGATTATTATCCTCAACAGCTGATGTAAATCGGCTACAGATTATATCGATGAACTTAGCAGGATAGCCAACATATCCTAATTTTAACACAAAAAATACTAAAAAATAAGACAGGGTCGTATAGCAGTAATTTTATAATTAACATTAATAACATACGATCTAAAAAACGGCGTCAAAGACGGCTGGGGAATGACTATAGTCTTCTTAAGGCCAACTGGCAGTAAGTGCCATTAAAAAATAAAGACGTCTAGGGCTTGACCTCGTCAAAATTATCATCGATTGTCTTTCGCCAGCCGCTTTTGACGCCGTTTTTTTTCAATACTATGGTATTTATTTGTCGTAAGAAAGGTTAATATGGGTTAATTGAAACTGACTGGTTTTTATTGAACACCAATTTATTAAAATAACTCTAAATTTACAAACTAATAAATAAAATTAACGAAATAACTTTTCTAAATCAGATAAAAAATCAAATCTAAAATATGTGCAACATTGCAACCTTCCATTTTAGCTAAAATACAATAATCCTACTGTTCTGAGTCATCAGATTCATCAGAAACACGTCCATTGCAACCTTCCTTTTTATGCTTTGTTAGTCCAATTTTATATTGAAACCTACAAATAAATTATTAAAAAATTCTATCATTAAAAAAAAATAGAATTGTTACTTAGATCCACATTTTTTACATTCATGCGGCAAGTCTGCATCGTGTACTTTGCTATGTTTCACCAGACTGACCTTATTACGGAAACTTCGATTGCAAAGATCGCATTTGAATTTTTTTGGGTGCTGAGTGAATCTGTGAAATCTCAAATCTTTTGCAGATTCAAACCTATATTAACAGAGAAAAAATTATAAACTCCTTTTTGCATACTCCTATAAATAATCCTATTGGTATATAGATTGGCAAATTCTTTACTAGCGGTATAGAAATATAATTTATATGCTTTTTAATTACAATAATTATTATAAATGGCCAGAAACTTAAAAAACGTAATCTCGCTACAAACCTTTGCTTGCAGATGCTACAGTCGAACGGAGACTGTCCTTCGTGGGATTCCTCAATGTGCTTCTTCAAATACAACCTTGTCCTGAATTTTACGTTGCACATCGAACAGCCAAACCGTTCCGTGTGCCTCCTCCTGTGATAGCGAAGATCTTTTTCCGTTTGGAACATCTTGTTGCACACGTCACATGGCAGTGACTTGTCCACTATAGTTCCGAAAATAATATTAAGAATTGTATTAATACTTTATTTTAGACATACTGTATATATATTTGATACCAATTCAATGACTAAAGAATATAAGGACATGTAACGCCCCTATACGGGCTGCAGCAGAATTTGTGACCTGCAAACAATGAGTCATCATTTGGTCACCAGCGACAATTTTAGCGATTTTTAATAGTTTGTGTGTAGTAAACTTTGTAAAACTTTATTACAATGGTGATTAGTTGTTCAGCTTTCAAGTGTAAACGCAGCGATAAGAAAGAGCCAAGAGTTACGTTTCATAGGTAAATAAACAGTCCACTCCAACTTTTTAGCGTTTTCTTATTGAATTCGATAATTATTCTTCAATTTGAATTAACATCTATATGTACTTGATATGTGCTATACGTCGCTACTAGTTTTGTACCTTTTGTTAACATTTTAATACGTTTTTTTCGTAATTAATTAGGATGATACACCATAGGCGTAGTCAAAACAATTATCAAAAAATATAAATATTGCTTCAAACAGCTAGGTTAAGAAAAATATGTGTTACGGCACTGTTTGGTGACATCGTCACACTTTGTCCTTGGATTCTTTAGTCATTGCTAGGGACCGAGTTGAAGTTCGCGCTAAAGATTTTAGACAGTGACAGTTATTTTTGCGTTTAACAGAGGAGCGCACAGTGCGGCGAAGATAAATCTAGCGGGATAAAACCGTTTGGTTAGAAATAAGCCCAAAATGTGTACTGATAAGAATAAATAGTAGACATTCCAATTGATATAAAAATGCATGAATTATTTTTGGTCGTATATATTCTTTGTATTTCGATACATTTTTATCAACCAACCATATAATATCGCTCCTGAGATTTTGTCCCGCTAGAATAACAATCCGCCGCACTGTGGAGCGCTGGTCCCTGCGTGACGTAAGCATCCACGGTGACTACGATAGCGGCGATTTGACGCGCACGAACAGTCATTTAGAATATATACAGTCCTTGGGTAATATCAGAGGTTAAGAAATTATACCGTGGGAAAATTTGCGGTGAACAGGCAGTTCTAAAAAGTTTTCGAAAAATATACAGGGAAATTTAAAAGAAAATGCATGGTTTTCAACATCTTTTTTAGCGAAAAAAACCTCATAGACGTGTTCCTGGGATCGAAATATACCACCCCTAAAAATATTTGCACTTATTTATGACTCACCCTGTATATTAAGCCAGACTGCATTATTAATGAGAAAAAAAAATATTGTGTAGATCCGTGTGTGTGTGATTGTGTATTGTGTAGATAACACACAAATAGGCAGAAGATGAATAACATGCTGGCAACGATGCACCGTCAATAAAGTTACTAAGTATGAACCTGCGCCACTCAAAAGTTTCTTAAATTTCCAGGAAAAATGTAAAAAAAGACAAAAAAATCATTTTTGGTAAGAAAAAAAACTCAAGGGTATGTTTCTGGGTTCAATACATTTTTAAAAGACACCTTGAATTTTTGGGTTACTTACAAACATGCCTCTTAATGTGACGTTTCAGGACGTACATGGTACTAGCTTTGTACCCGCACATTTCACACTGGTACTTCTTTTCCGAATGGTTAACCTGCACGTGAGCACTCAAAGCACTCCGATTGCGAAATCTCTAAAGAGAAAAAATACAAAAACGTATAAAATTTTCCTAGTAAAAAACCGACCACCCTGTATAATAAAATGACTTACTTTTGGACAATCCGGACATGCGACGGGATTCTCTCGAGTATGAGTCCTTATATGGAGCGTCAGGTTGTATTTTTTGTTGAAAAACTTGTGACAGATTTCGCATTTGTAAGGTGTGATCCCCCCGGTATGAGTAATTTTCTCGTGTTCAATTCGCATTGGCGTAGATTTGAATTTTTCATCTAAAATCCAAGTAGATTCATGTTAGGCTTTGAATAAAATGATTAAGGAAGGAACATAATATCAAAAAACTTTGATATTATTGGTTGAGCGCGACGGGGACCTAAAATGGCCGACTTAAATTCCCAGTTTATCAGTGCCGTTCTAATTTTATTCAAAACGTGTAAAAATATGATGTAGGGTAGACTCAATAATTTGTTATTTTATTTTACGTTGCCAATAAATATTGGTAGTTATTCAAAATGGTTATAAAAATATATAATTCTAATTGATAAGTTATAATAATTATTTATTAACAAAAACATCCGATACGCTACTGAAGCAGGTCAGTCAAATTGACGTATCTAAATTCATTGACATCTAATCTCATAGATAAATGCAACAAGTTTAGATTGGAAAGCCCGTAAAAATTTTAGGTCGCGAAATTATTTTGGGTCGCGACCGTTATACGCGATCTGGCGCTGCCATAGCGGTCGCTAAGAACAACGGCAAACAAAAACAGAAATAATTTTCTCTTGTCAAAGTCAGAATCTTCAAAAATCATAATAATCTTTCAAAATCTAAACCGCTCTCATTAAAGAAATTCCGAAAAGTGTTTATAGCGTCAATTTTCAAAGTAATTATTGCTATCTTGTGAGTTTAATTCAAGTTTTATTTACTCCAACCGGTGATAATGTTTTTAATGTTTCATAGGTATTTCATACATGCGTCCTTATATAAAATAAAGTTTCTTGTACACACTGTATTTTATTTATAAAATTAAACGAAAATAATAATAAATTTGAATAAACAATATTTGGCGATATAATTCCGGAAAAAGCCGAACCGCTCCGAAATTTTCAAAAGTTTTGGGTCGCGACCGTTGCAAGAATAGCGCCAAATAGTGTTTACATTGTCCTTATGGGCACTTTCCAATCTAAACTTGTTTCATTTATCTATGTCTAATCTTTGAAAGTAAATAAAAGCAAAAATGCAAGAAAAAATATATAATTAGTTAATTTTAAGTGAATGTCATAAATGATCAGTTTACTACATGTATGTACATATATTATACCGTGCTGGCAAGTGTTACTTTTGGGTCGGCATTTACATGTGTGGAAGTAAATCGCATAGGAATCTTATTAAGTCGGAGTGAGAGAAATGCGACCGACCGAGGCGACGCGCGATGGTGTGCTGTTGCGGCGTTGCCGATACGCCTTTCCCTATCAAGTAAAGTAAAATCACCATCGCAAACCGCTTATTTTTAAAAGACTTTTTTTTTCAAGAGATAACTAGATAAAATCATTAGACATGTTTCTGAGCATCTCAAATGGAATTATAAGGATATTGTTAGGGTGTCGAGAGAACGTCAGTAATCGCGATAATTTAACAGGCCATAACTCAAGAACCACTTTAGATATTGATACTTTTTTTTATTTTCACGATGGGATATTCTACAATATGTTTACACAAGAAAAATTCGATAAGGTTGTTTTTTGCATTCAAAAATTGTAAACAATCCAGCCATTTACTTTTAGAGCATAGCAATTTTCAGCAATCGTGTAATTTTTTTATTGATAAAGATTTTCACATACTGTCTACAAAGAAAATACAGCAGAAATATTAACAAAGTTCTTGAAAAAACTACAATCTATTATTTCTAATAGATTTCGAGATATCGATTTTTGAATTCAGAGTTCTAATAGCGCGACCACTATCGAACACCCACTCAATTCCACTTATTTTACCAAAATGCAAGCGTTTCTAGCTTGCACTTAAAAAAAATTCAAGCTATAGGGAAAATTACAACGACTCGTTAATAAATAAACAAATTAAGTATCACGAGACGTAATTAAATCGTGAAGCTGAACGCATGACGTACACCTTTCCTTAGAACTTTAAGTACTGACAGAGGTATTGATTGGGTCGACCGGTCAACTGCGACAAATCTGCTATATCCCCTTCCACGTCTCTTAGCGATGTGCACAGTTTCTCGGTTTATTTCATACGTTTGGCAACGTGTTTACTGTCTTCTCTTTGTTCAGTACATTATAAACGCCATTGTACTCTTCTTACATACGGAAATCCCGATCCAAGACTAACCATTGCCAGCCCTTAGTATAGTCACTTACTAGTGAAAAGTTATTCCATTATTTCCTTCGATTTTTGACCGAGATCTACCGCACGCTACACAACTAAGACAGACATCTACTGTCACTGTTATTTATCCTTTACTTAGTCAGAATTTAGTTTTTTTCTTGGTATATAATATACTCACCGCAGTATGTACATTTGTACAATTTTTCCCCAGTATGTACTACCGAATGAAGCTTCAAAGAATAGTTATATTTAAACTTTTTATCGCACAAATCGCAGCTAATTAGTGCGGGTTTATCCTTATAACGTGGCTCTTTGACGGGCTTTTCTTTTGGATGTACCTCTTTGACATGAGCCTGAAAGATAAACAAGTTTCTCACAAATAGCTCAGATTTTAATAACGTAGAAAAAAAGAAGACAAAATATGTGCTAGAATTTGGATACTTCAGGAAAAAAAATATACAGGTTGGAGCAAAATCTGTGATGTCAAATTATAGGACGCCATTTTTTGGTGCCGAACAAAGGAGGTGACACCTTGTACAAACTTTATTATAATGGTGATTTGTTCAGGTTTCAAGTGTAAAAGCCGCATCGAGAAGACAGAGCCAGGTATTACGTTTCTAGATAAATAAACAAACAATTAATTTTCTGCATTTCATCTTTTTAGCTTTTTAATTGAATTTTATAATTAATTATTCATTTATAATAGTCCATATCAGTTTTGTACCTTTTGAAAGAGTTTTAATACCTTTTTTATTTAAATAATTGGCATAACACGCCCTAAAGAGCAGCATCTACCATAGGCGTAGGCGAAACTTTTATAAAAATATAGATAAATAAAGATTATTCATTCGAGTCTAACCACTGAATAATAATTTTAAAAAAATTTTTGTGAGACAATTAAAATTAGCTTTGGTGTCAACTGATAACAAAAAATTAGTTTCTGGTGTTATTAGTTCTTGAATTCTTTAGTCATTGCAATGAATATGTTAGAAATAACAAAAATTTCCTTTTTTTGACACTTGACATCGCGTATGGTAACACTGGAACTTAAAAAAATATAGTATGTGTGTTCTGTGGTAAACAATATATGTAAATTTTGACTTTTAACCATATTGTACAACAAAACAGAAAAAAAAAAACACTAAATTAAAGAAATACTTACAATATAAGTTTTTTTATCTTTCAGAGTTATTTTACAAATCTCACATTCAACTTCAGGATTAAACACAACGATAGTATACTCGTGATCGTTTACTCCTTCCACATATCTGTCCAATTTTTGTTCTGGCCAATTTTTAGTCTTGTTCTAAAACATTACAAACTATAAGTTTGTTTTTGACAAAAAAAGTTAATATGTATTTTAGCAATTTTTTTCCTTATAACATAGTATGCCAAAAATCTCTTCTTAAAATACATGCCTTTACTTAAAAGATACCCTGTACAGTTTAAAATATAAACAATACTATATCTTACTACATTTACAGCAATCGGATCCTCCTCAACACTAGGTATGTTTTCAGTTTTAATTAAAACATCAGTAATATTAGCTATGTCATTATCAGGTTGATCTTTAGGTTCAGATGAATCACAGTTATCCTAAAATTAATACAGAAATTATTATATTATTCTCATACAAGTAACTATAGTTAATAACATCAGTGTTATTTTCCTCAACAACTTCACCCTCTTCTAACTCTGCCTCTAATACATTATGTTCATCTCCTGACTCAGAAGGTTCGACTTTAACATTGCAAGATTCAGGCTAAAAAACACAATTTAAAAAAATATATTTTTTTTATTATTATTCATTCGGTTACGTCAATGTTCAAGTTTTCTTCGTCAATTGGATTCTCAGGTGTAATATAAGGAAAATCGAAATCCGTATCATTATTATCAACAGTCATTTTTATAATGTTCTGCAAGCGCAATTCGACTCTCAGAATTTGTTGTTTGTATTGTGTCGCAATGAGCAGATATTTCAAACAAGTTTTGCATATACTGGTAGGGAGAAAGGAGTGAAACCCTAACTAAAAAATAATTAAAGGAATATTCAATCGATTTGAATAAATAATCAATATGGTTTAGTATGTAATCTGATTCCACCTACTGCCATATTGGTAAGGTCAATTATTTTTTCTTCTAGAACTTCGTTTCCGAAGATTTGCGTTAAGGCATCTTGAGGCACCTGTGCCAAACATGTTCGGCATAAGTTTTCAAAGCTTTTTGCCCCTTCAGACATGTTCGACGTGTTATTTATAATGTTTTCATTGATTTGGAAAGAAAAAACATCAGTTAAAGTTAGGTTAAACTTGTTTACTAGCCGTCAGTATGGCCAACCTAAAAACACAAACTGTCAGTGGTTATTAAATAAATCAGGGATGAGGGTCGAAAAATTATAATACAAAACCTTATTTTTCTACTTTAAGTTATGTAAAAAAGTCAAAAACTTACGTTATAGTAGTTCTAATGAGTAAAAATCTCAGAAAATGGTTTTCTATAGCAAACAGTCGATTAAAAATATACTCTTTGTCCTTGCTCTTTGTCTATAGTTTATTCTCAAGAATACTATAGAGATAAGGATAGTTCGATTCCTATCTTCCTGCACTGTCAGTTTTTTACGTCATCTGATGACAGAGTTGAAGTTGGCGCTAAAGATTTTAGACAGTGACAGTTATTTTTGCATTTGACGGACGAGCGCACAGTGCGTTGGAAGATAAATTTAGCGGGACAAATAGTAGACATTCCAATTGATACAAAAATGCATGAATATTCTTTGTATTTCGATACATTTTTATCAACCAAATTTGGTCGTTTTCTGCTCAGCAAGGCAGAGATCATACGAAAACAATATATTTACAAGTGCTTATACATTTTATTCCAAAGCCAAATTATGTTAAAGATTGCCAAAGGTATGTACTTTTCTACTGTACGTATATTATTTGTTAAAATCCTTCGTGCCTTTGTTCTGCAGATATCAAACTTTTCACTTTTTTTTTTCAAATATCGATATATTGAATGATGTAGATCTTTTGAGTTGCCAATAGTTACCAACACAGGTAGTCACAGTCACAAGGGAGTTCAAGCTTAACAGGTGAATGCCCAAAAGATTAATTTCAATCGGATAGTATAAAACAAAACAACTCCATCAAAAGGCACTGAGTTTAAAAAATTGTCTTAGATACTTACTATATATGAATTTACAATTACCGAGTATTAAAATTAAAATTAAAATATCTATCTTAATTAATATTTTAAAATAAAATATAGAGGGTGTCACAAGATTACAAAGTAATTAAAAAAACAACTGCTAAAGAGTTTTTTGTAAGTATTTCACCTGATATCATAATTTTATGTATTTCGCAATAGTTTACAATACGGTTTTTTGTGTCATGTACGAATAATATCATAGTTTTATTATCTGTATTTATTTATTAATAAATTAAGTTGTTAATAAATAAATAAATTTAACCATATAGTTGCTATATATTAGACCATTTGCTACGTTCTTAGATTTTAAGTCCCAAACATTGCTCTTGAGATTTTGTCCCGCTAGAATAACCATCCGCCGCACTGTGGAGCGCTGGTCAGCGCGTGACGTAACATTCCACGGCGACTACGACAGCGGCGATTTGACGCGATCGAACAGTCCTTTAAAATATATACAGTCCTTGGTTTATTCCTGCATAAAAGCACATCCCTGATATAAACTAGGTTTTTTTATTTGTAAATAATATTAAGTTGGTAGGAGAAAAAAACAGAGCCGGACTTAAATTCATTTAATTTTCTTAGTAGATTTTTAATGTTTTTTTTAATAATGCTGCAATTCACTTACTAAAGAGTAGTGGTATATTAAAAATGTTAAATTAGATTTAATGTATTATAGTAATACTATTTTTATAGTGAATAATTATTAAAAAATAAAACTACTTTATAAATTTTCAGGTAAAAAAACTATATATTTTCTTATTATATACAATTTAAGACGATTCTGCTGTTTTGTGTTGTAACTCATCAGCAACAGCATGGCTCTTTTTATGCTTCTTCAAGTTACCATTAAATTGAAAAACCTGAAACAAAATTGTACGAAAATTTAGTTAAAAATCTACATCATTCACACATAAAGTTTGTCCAGCGAAAGAATATATGACAATGACAGTCAGACTGTCATTTTAATTCAAAAGTAAATTGTTTTAACTGTCGTTCTTTGGATATCATATATTTTTTCGCTGGACAAACGATATCATATATGATTTAGTAGAATATTTACCCTTTTCCACAAACATCGCATTTGTAAGGTTTTTCTTTTGTGTGAATTTTCATGTGAATATTCAAGTACGTTTCTGTGGTGAATTCTTTTTCGCAAATGGTACAGTTCACGGGATTTAAGTGAACCCTTTTGTGCCACATTAGGTTTGTCTTCGATTTAAAGGCTTTCCCGCAAATGTCGCAAATAAAATTTCTCTCATCTAAAAATCAATTTATAGTGTAAGTAATGATTTCTTTATACAGGGTGGTCCGAACTGTATTCCGGAAACTCGGCAGCATATTCTGCAGATAAAAATAAGTAAAAAGTTCTAAAATGTTCGTATCTAAGATACAGGGTGTAGAAGTTTCATTTTTATTTTGAGACAGATTTTTTCCCAATAATTTCTGAAGTAACGTCAATATTTGGATGAAAATTAGTGTCTGGGAGTTTTTTGACATGAGAAATTTAATTTTGATGTCAATATGACTCCTACTTGTAGAGGGCGCCACCTACATTTTTTTAACTGGTTTCAGGAGTAACTACTTTTCTTCCGTACATGTATAAAACTACTGAGTAAAAAATATACATTTACGACGTTTTTTACGTAAAAAAGGTCTCTTGGTAAAAATCGCTACGAGTAAGCGTTCTCGAGATATTTGGAGCCGAAATTTCCGAATCGAGGCAATGGCATAAATTAAACATGTTGACTAAATAGTTATTAGACTGAAATCATTAATTTGAAATATTTTTGTGCCAAAAGTTCAACAGAAACTGTTTTATCATCACTTTTCCGAAGAAAAATTTATGATTATGTAATTTAAAAAAATAAAAAGTTTCCAAATTTATCATTTCAGTCAAATAACTATAGTCTATAAAATGAATAACTTTGAATTTTGACCGTTATTTTTTACCAACATGGCAAATATAAAATCCCTCTATCCAAAAAGTTACTGATATTCTTTAAAATGAGTGCCGAAACGAATCAGATGGGTAACTCTTTGAAATAGAAAAGGAAAATAACCAAACAAGTGACAGTTCTTCCTCTTCTTGCAAAAATCAATGCGAAACTTATGCGAAATGTCATTATTGACAAAAGTAAAATGTCATCAGCCTTTTCACATTTCTAAATATCAGACCAATGCCGTCTCTAATAGAACAGCCTCGGAGCGAGATTTATGACGTCACGCTAGTTAGATACCACGGATTAATAAATATGTTGTAGTATACATGGAAAACATAATTATTCCTCGTATTTTTGGTTTGTACTTTAAAACTGATATAGTTTACATGAAATATACATAATATACTGTTAATAAATACAATATATATACCTATTTATAGTAATAAATACTTTGGCAAATAAACTATGAACCATACAAATGCAGCAAATATTTTACAATATACCTACAAATAATGAATAGGTACATAAGATAATGGGTAAAATGTAAATATATATTTTAGATTTTGGGGTTTGAAAATCGATCTAATTTAATAAAAAACATTCAATATCTACTAATTGTGATGTATTATTATTTGCATTCACAAAATTTATATGTATATTTTGCAAGCATTAATGTTCGAAAAATTATATTTGCAAATAATACAATATCATAGAAAGGCGTCAGCGATGGCTATGAAATAAAGATCGCTGTCATTTTATATGTAAAATTATTCTAAAAATTTTTGATTTTCTTCGGATTTAGGTTCGGGAAAACGCTGATTAAATTTTCATTTGGTTTTTCATTATTTTTTGGTTTAAAAAATATTATATTATAGCCTAAGATATATAAAATAAGTAAAAAAAATAAACGTTTATAGCCTTCATCAGTGTTGTGTCATATGAAAAAAATAGTGTCGAATATAATCCAAAAAATTACATATACGAGGAATAATAATTATGTTTTCCATGCATTCTACAACATAATTAATCCGTAGTATCTAACTAGGGTGACGTCATACATCTCGCTCAAAGGCTGTTCTATTAGAGACGGCATTGCATCAGCATGGCCGCAAGTTGCTAACCTAATAAAATTTACACTAGAAAAGCCCGCGGGAACTGTCAAATTCAAAGTTATTCGTTTCACAGACTATATCAACTCAACAAGTGACTATTTCCATTCTAAATATCTTAAGAATGGTTGCTCCTAACGATTTTTACCAAGGGACATTTTCTACGTAAAAACCGTTGAAAATGTATAATTTTTCACCAAGTGGTTTTATACAAGTACGGACAAAAAGTTATCGCTCTTCAAAACAGTTAAAACACATGTAGGTGGCGCTCCCTAAAAATAGGAGTCATATTGACGTCAAAATCAAATTTTTCATGTCAAAAAACTCCCAGACACTAATTTTTATCCCAATATTGGCGTTACTTCAGAAATTATTTGGAAAAGAATCGAAATAAAATTGAAACTTCTACACCCTGTATCTCCGAAACTAAGCATTTTAGGACATGCATTTATACGAACTTTTTTACTTATCTTTATCTGCAGAATATGCTGCCTAAGTTTCCGGAATACAGTTCGAACCACCCTGTTTAATAACTTTTGTGTTATACCCCCTTAAATATTAGCATGTCATATCTTCATATAAACAAGGATAATATTAAAAATTCATAAATATAAAATAAAAAAAAGTTTTTATACCTGTGTGACAAATTTTATGCATGTTTAGACTGGCATTTGTGGATAACTTGAGTCCGCATAGTTCACACTGATACGCCTTTTTATGGACCATTTTGTGGTTCAGTAAATTACGAGAAGTGTTGAATGTCTGCATGTAATAAAATAATAATTCGATCGAGAAAAAAAAACGGCTGAGGAGTGACAATCGATGATAATTTAGGCGAGGTCAAGCCCTGGACCTCATTTACGTGGCCCGTAGTCTTTTTTACTTTTTAATGGTGCTTACTCTCAATTGGTCTCAAGGGCTTGAACACACTGACAACCAGGTCGCACCGGCCAGGTCGCTGCTACCTCTAAAACCATTAAATCAAATGATACCGCGCACACTAACGTACTGGCCGTCCGTTGGTCGTTGCGACCACACTTCTTCTTGTATTTATTATTTTATGGTTGCGACCAGTAGACTGCACTAAAATATTATAATTTTCTGCCGCTTGTTGCCGGTTTTCTTCCAAATCAATAATTTTTCAGATGAAATCCCACAAATTCAAGGCACAATATTTTATTTTCTATAAGATATAGTGTTTTATAGTCTGTGAAACGAATAACTTTGAATTTGACAGTTCACGCGGGCTTTTCTAGTGTAAATTTTATTAGGTTAGCAACTTGCGGCCATGCTGATGCAATGCCGTCTCTAATAGAACAGCCACTGAGCGAGATGTATGACGTCACCCTAGTTAGATACTACGGATTAATTATGTTGTAGAATACATGGAAAACATAATTATTATTCCTCGTATATGTAATTTTTTGGATTATATTCGACACTATTTTTTTCGTATGACACAACACTGATGAAGGCTATAAACGTTTATTTTTTTATTTATTTTATATATTTTAGGCTATAACGTTTTTTTTAAACCAAAAAAAAAATAATGAAAAACCAAATGAAAATTTAATCAGTGTTTTTCCCGAACCTAAATCCCAAGAAAACCAAAAATTTTAGAATAATTTTACATATAAAATGACAGCGATCTTTATTTCATAGCCATCGCTGACGCCTTTTTTTCTATGATACTGTATTATTTGCAAATATAATTTTTCGAACATTAATGCTTGCAAAATATACATATAAATTTTGTGAATGCAAATAATAATACATCACAATTAGTAGATATTGAATGTTTTTTTATTAAATTAGATCGATTTTCAAACCCCAAAATCTAAAATATATTTTACATTTTACCCATTATCTTATCTACCTATTCATTATTTGTAGCTATATTGTAAAATATTTGCTGCATTTGTATGGTTCATAGTTTATTTGCCAAAGTATTTATTACTATAAATAGGTATATATATATATTGTATTTATTAACTGTATATTATGTATATTTCATGTAAACTATATCAGTTTTAAAGTACAAACCAAAAATACGAGGAATAATTATGTTTTCCATGTATTCTACAACATATTTATTAATCCGTGGTATCTAACTAGTGTGACGTCATAAATCTCGCTCCGAGGCTGTTCTATTAGAGACGGCATTGGTCTGATATTTAGAAATGTGAAAGGCTGATGACATTTTACTTTTGTCAATTATGACATTTCGCATAAGTTTCGCATTGATTTTTGCAAGAAGAGGAAGAACTGTCTCTTGTTTTGTTATTTTCCTTTTCTATTTCACGAAAGTAAAAAGAGTTACCTATCTGATTCGTTCCGGCACTCATTTTAAAGACTATCAGTAACTTTTTCGATAGAGGGATTTTATATTTGCCATGTTGGTAAAAAATAACGGTCAAAATTCAAAGTTATTCATTTTATAGACTATAGTGTAGTTTTTACACACGTGCAGAAAATCCAAAGAAATAGTATACAGACTGGATCAAAGGTAAACTTAAATCTAGTCCCTTTTTTATCAAGAACATATTTATTAGAACATATAATAAGCTCATGAATAGCAACTTCGCTTTTTAGTTAACTCGGATATTTTAACATTTCTGAAACTTAATTCTTTCTGAAACAATATTTTCTAATTGGTAAAACGTAAAAAAGCGTTAGATCTGACAACTCTGTTGAAACTGGTCGTTCATCTGGCCGCAGCTATAAACGCAATATTACATCCGGCCAGGTCGTTGCGACCTGGTCGTCAGTGAGTTAGAGCCCTAAGGTTGTAATTTATTTTTAGATTTGTAATAACCACACATTTTTATATGTCTGGAAACGTTCTATCCTGTTTTAATCTTCCTATAACTAATGTGAATTTTTGACAAGTTTTACGTCAATTTTTATTAAATGACATCTAGAGATTGACCTCGCCAAAATTATTATCGATTATCATTCCCCAGGCATCTTTGACGTCGTTTTTTTTTCGATCATACAGCTCATTAATTATTGTAATACAGGGTCCGGCAATAGTGCGTCTAAAGTATATGTTCTAGGATCTATTCCAGGAAAATATTTTAACTTCTATAGGGTGGCTCAAAAAAGTGAGTGGATCAGGATGATTTTCTTTAAATGAAACACCCTGTATATTATTGCATTTTTCGCTTCCTTTTAGATCACTTTACATAATCCTAAGATATGAGTAAATATATTTCGATTAGTTTCAGAGATATTAATAAATAAATAAAAAATATATACATATTTTTCAGCCTTTCTTTAAAAAATTATTAAAAATACAAGAACTGTCCTGAAATCAAAACTATATTAGGTATTTACTTTAGATGGTCTATACTTAACTTTGCTACAAATATCGCAATTTTAAATCATACAGGGTGTTCAAAATTCGACGCCAAACTCTAAAATATAAAATAATTTTTATTCGTTTTTTTTTAAATGGAACACCCTGTATATTTTTTTTGCAATAGACGGAGAATTAAAAAAATGAACATTTTTTGTATTTAGAGTATTTCAAAATTTTTAACGGTTTCGCAAATATTCGCGGTTTTATATTTCCTATGGCATTTTCCATAGTAAATTTTTATCAAAGCCACCCAATGAGAGAGCCATATGAAACATGGTACAAAGAATACAAGGTATGATCGATAGCGGCTCCAATTTCGTTCAGTTCGCGCATACCACCTGTGACGTCACTAGGAAAATAAGGAATAAATAAAAAAATAAAGAAAGTTGACAGGAGATCTGCATTTTTGAGGTTATGGTTAAGAATTGTTTATTTTTAAGACTTTTTAGTTCGTTTAATTTAATAATTACTAAAACCAGCAGTTCCAAAAATATATTTAAATATAATAATTATCTATTAACATGGATTTGGACGATAATAGGTAAAAATACTAAATTTATTTCTATATTCGGTATAAAATTGTTTATTAGGTTTTTAGTTTGCGATGTTTATGGTAAATAATTTTCATTTTTATTGCCTCTGAATTCGCATGAGGACAGAGATGAGGATATCTATGGAAAAGTAACCACAAGAGGAATTGTTACATCATTTAAAAATTGTTGGGAAGTTTATTGTTTCCCATCGAAAAGTAGAAAATGCCAATGCAGATGAACGTATTGTAATTGTGATAGAAGTAATTCCAAGGGTGAAGTTTATTATAATTAGTGGAAGTAATACCAAGGGTGAAGTTTATTATAATTAGTAACATGTGCTTCTTTTTATATGTAGATGTTTCTGGTGTTGAGAATAAATCGAATCGGGAAGTTCATAATAGCTCGGCCGTCGAGGCCGCCGGCAGATGAGCATTATTGACACCCAACATTTAAAGGAAGTATTTGCATACCCAGAATATGCCCATCAAGGGTTATATAGCTCAAATTTCCTTTAATGGTAGGCAATTATTCAATGCAAATTAACTTTTTAAGTGACTGAAATATTAAATAGTTTACAATATGGTATATCACTAAAAATATATTACTTTTAGGTACAATTAGGACCCGATACATTTCAAAAAGTAGAATATTATTTTATATTAAATGAGGTTATTGTACTAACAATCAATTTATATTAATAACGGAAATTAAAAATAACAGAATAAATAGTTCTTTTTATACTACAAAATAAACTATAGAATACAACAGTATTTAAAAAATAAATAAAAAGTGATGTTCCGGCCGAGATTCGAACTCCGGTCTCTCGCTTCCTAGCCCGACTCCCTATGCACTGCTCCACTGTAACTTAGCGATAATTCAATGACGGTATATAAACAAAAAAAACAGGTTTATAACAATATCTTGACGATTTGAACCGGCGCGCGGAGCGTGCTGACCAATAGCGCCTCTTATCACCTGTGACGTAGCGACCAACCTGCGCAATATCATACCTTGTATTCTTTGTACCATGCATATGAAATAATACTGCGTGTATCTGCGAAACCATTAAAAATTTTGAAATACTTTAAATACAAAAAATGTTCATTTTTTAATTGTCCATCTAACAAAAAGATAATATACAGGGTGATCCATTTAAAAAAAACAAAGAAAAATTATCTTATATTTTAGAATGTTTGGCGTAGAATTTTGAACATCCTGTATGATTTAAGATTACGATGTTTATAGCAAAGTTAAGTATAGACAAAATAAATATTTTTTTTAATGGAGGTTGAAAAATATGATTTTTTTGTTTATTTATTAATATCTCTGAAACTATCGAAATATATTCATTCATATCTTAGGATTATGTAAAGTGATCTAAAAGGAAGCCAAAAATGCAATAACATACAGGGTGTTCCATTTAACGAATATCATCCCAATCCACTCACACTTTTTTGAGCCATTCTATAGAAATTAAAATATTTTCTTGAAATACATCATATACTTTAGGTTTACACTTAAACAAAATTCCCAAGTTTTGTATTCTAAGAGCTACAGATGCCCGACGCACTATTGCCGGACCATGTATATTATTGTATACCTTTTAATGTATTTTACCTTTGGACATAGATCACACATATACGGCCTCTCTGTGCGGTGCACCGCCATATGATGAGCTAAATCGTGCTTTGTATAATATATATTCTTACATATTTTACAGGCAAAAGGTCTTATATTCCGGTGTTTCTTCTTAAGATGGCCTCTGTACACTCCTCTGCGCGAAAATTGTTCACCTTAAATGTTCAAGATTTTTTACTAAACGTATGGCCCCTTTAAAAAAATAACTATTACCACAAATACTGCATTCGAATTGTTTCCTCTCAATCGTTTGACCATTGGAGTGAACCACTTTTTCATGTTCTATACAACTACTGTGAAAAATAAACAGTCTGTCGCAGTACAGGCATGCAAATGACTTTTTTGGAATTGGAGGATCATCTTCCTTAAACAAAGATAAAAACGCTTGTAAAAATAACTTGAAACTTGTAAATTATTTGAATCAAAGACTCTCAATCTCGAACTGGAGCAAAATCTGTGATGTTAAATCATTTTTTTTGGTGCCCCACAAGTGAGAAGGTGAATAAACAATTAATTTCCTGTGCTCCACCTTTTTAGCTTATTTTTAATGGATTTAGTGTTCAGTGCGAACCAAGAGATAGTCATACTTACAATAACATCTTGACTAAGTGTATTTTCTATATTTTCTGTATTCTCTACATTTTCTGTATCACTTTCAGTAATTAAGTTAACCTAAAATAAATAAAAAGTTCTGTGTGTATACTTAGGTTTCTTTGTTTAAAAATAAATAGACATTATGTATTGAAATCAAATTTTGTGAGCATATACACATTGATTTAGAGCATTTTTTAAAAATATATAAAGTTGATTTTACTGATTCCAGGAAAAAAATAAAGCTGAGTTTCTTGAATGTGAAGATATAGGTATATAACATTATATGACAAAAATTAACTAGATGAAATCAAATGCTCAAAATGCCCTGTTTATATTATTATATTATAAACTGTTTTGACTTACAATATCCTCTTGACTAGATGCATTTTCTAAATTCATTTCATTGTCACTTTTGTCTTGTAAATCTTCTAAGGTGTCTGTATTAATCTAAAATAAATAAAAACTAATAATATATACTATATTTTACTTGTAGAAATACCTATTTATCATCATACTTACAATACTCTCATGAATAGGTGATTTTTCTACAATAATTTCCCTAATATTTAAATCTAAAGTTTGTAGAGGTTCCGTATTAGTCTAAAATATATGAATATTAAATATTCTGACTTACAAAAATTGACATCAACTTTACCCCTTTTGTATTTTTCTCTACATTATTCTGGGTAGAATTATCACTATCAACCAGGTCTACTACTTCAACATAGGGAATTTGACTGGCCTCGTTTAAAAGCTTTGCAATTTTTTTAAATTGCAATTCGATGTTTTGTACTTGGTCTCTGAAGTCTATTGCTGTTTTAAGGTTTTGGTGGCATTTCGGACACAGTTCAGCAGATAAAGCTGAATGGTGTACAAACTAAAAACGCTTTAATACTATAATATTCGGTACAAGCAAAAATGTTATGTGTTATTACTTGGACTTTTGTTATTTCACTCAAGTGTTTAGCGACGAGAAAATCTTTGAAAATGGAAAATTTTTCTTCAGCAGCTAAAGGGGACAAACACGTCCTACACAGCTTCTTTAAATCGGAGTTATACTGAATTTTATCGGACATTTCTATTATTTAAAGTCCGCATATCAAAAATAAACCATTCAAATTGTTTACAACAAAAAGTTAGGTTAATTCTATCTGTCATAATCTGATTAGTGGGACATCAGAACTAAAACAAGGATGAGTGTGTAAAAAATTATATTTTACTCAATCGGATTATTACGTTTTAATAAAGTGAAAACATTGCTTAACAAATCAGATACAACTTTAGGTACAACTGGAGCAAATCTAAAGAGGTAAAAGTTATTTTTTGTGTAGTATTTAGTCATTATTTATGAAGTAGTTTTTTTGTTGCATAACCATTAGCCATTCTAATTATTACATTGACAGATGGATATATATTATCTATGGATATACTAACGCTAACAGTTGTGGCTCTGTGGCTGTTCAGTTAGTTATTCTATGGTTGTGGCTAACAGTATTCGTCCTCCTCTATAAACTTCTATAGTTTTCGTTAGCAAAAACTTTTATGTATATTTTTTTTGTAAACTGAATTTGTTACTGTAGATAGTTTATTTATATGTTACGCAATTTGTATATTAAGCTTAATATACATTTTTTTTTATTTGATTCAGTCCGAAATTAGCAATGTGCGATAAAATACAGTACGTTTCCGATTTCAAAAAGATTTGTAGGACATGTTTGTCCCCATTAGAAGCCAAACACTCGTTTTCCATTTTCGAAGACTTTTTTGTGGCTAAACACTTGAGCGAAATAACAAATGTCGAAGTAATACTATCACATTTACTTGCCTGTACTGAATATCATACTATTAAGATGTTTTCAGTTTGTACAGAACCCAGCATTCTCTACAAGTATATGTTTTAAATGTTACCTGCAGCTTAAAACGGCAATAAACTTCAAAGACCAGGCGCAAAAGGTCGAATCGCAATTGCAAAGAATTGCAATGTTATTAAAGGTCTCCAGCTCCAGCCATGTTCCCGACGTTGAAGTTGTAGAACAGGTTGATAGTGAAAATTTGGATAGAAATGATGAAGAGATAGACACAACATTGGTAAAGTGGATGTTTATTATGTGCATATTTATATAAGAGGTACTTATTATAGTTTATTATTAATTTTAGACCAGCAGAGAACCTTTAGAATCTTTACAATATCAAAATGACAATGAAATTATTTTAGAAAAACCATCTAATGAAAAGGACATGGTAAATAACATACTAAAATAAATATCTGTACATGTACTGAAATTTTTAAAATATTTTTTATTGTAGGGTAAAATAAAAATCTTAGAAGATATAAAATACTACAATGAAAGTGAAGTTGTTTTAGAACAACCATCTGATCATGAGTATCATGTAAGTATGATAGATACATATATACATATTCAGGAAGCTCTAAAATACTCTGTATATTAATATTTTGTTGTAAATTCTAGGTTAAAAAGGATTCCTTCGAATATAACAGTGTTAATGAAATTGTTCTAGAAAATGCATCTAATCAAGATGAGTATGATGTAAGTACCTATAATATATAAATAAATATAATACAAAGTAAACTACTACCTACTACTACATAAATAAATAAATAAAATAATGCTGGAAATACCCACAGAAAGATGCATGTTTTAGATAATAAAAATTTATTTAGTAGATTTTATTATACAGTTTGTTTGTTTATTTCAGGTTAATGTAAAAATGGAAATTGACATTGGGAAAACAAAGTTCCATCAAGAAATCATTGTAAGTATTGTTATTTCTTTTGTGGGTTCACACGAAAAGTTCACACATAGTTCACACTGAAAACATACCCTATGATCAAAAAAAAGCCGGCGTCAAAGACGGCTAGGGAATGAGAATGAATGCCAAAAAATGACGACTTTTTTTTTGATCGTATGGTATTTATAGTGATAATGATTTCATTTGTACATTTTAGGAAGAGAAAACTACAACAGGGCCAATAAAGACAAATGTATGTCCATTATGTGGCAAAAACTTTAAGTTGAAAAGTAGCTTAAACAGACACAAAGACACATGCAAGACAGTTGATAAATCGAAAGGGAAAAGGGGCCTTAGCAAATCGTTAGCTTGTTCTTATTGTAAGCAGTTATTTGTTTACGAGGGGTCTTTATTAAGACATGAAAGAATCATGCATTAAGGAAAGAAAAATAGACACTTGGGAACATGATTCCATGAAACATGTTTCCGACATGGACATGAAAAAAAAAAGAGACTGAGAGTCGTTCTACGATATGATCGAAAAAAAACTGCGTCAGCGATGGCTATGAAATGAGGATCGCTGTCATTTTATATGGGAATGTCATCGATCGTCATTTCCGAGCCAACTGGACGCCGTTTTTTTTTTCGATCATATGGTATTATTATTATAAGGTCTTCTACTGAATTCTTGTAAATTGTACAATATGATCGAAAAAAAGCGGCGTCAGCGATAGCTGTGAAATGAAGATCGCTGCCATTTTATCTGTAAAATTATATTGGGACTGTGATCGATCGTCATTTCCATGCCAACTGGACGCCGTTTTTTTTTCGATTATACGGTACTTTAAGAAATATAACGTTTTTTATATGAAAATTTGTATATTTTTTTATTTGTCGCTATAAAAACCTTTGTATATTACAGAAATACGAAAAATATAAGTTAATCTTTTTTATGACGTTTTTTATTTAAACTTTTATAAAAAATTATAACTGATACGCGTAAAAAACTATTTTTCCAAACCCAACCCTGATGATTACCACTGATTATGACAAGTATAATAATGTATTCTATTAATCTATGGGTGCATATAATATAAAGCTAACCTAACTTCTAAGACTTGTTCAAAACTCTTTTGGATGGTTTGTTTTTCATTTTATATTGTATAAACTAAATCTATTATGATTCTGGCTGATACATATACCAGTTAGTTATATTGAAGCAAAATTCTGCCATCTAAATCCTAGCAATGTCTCATAAAATTCCGTATACTTCGGATTTTAACAAGCTTTGTAGGACATGTTTGAACCCATTAGATACACAAGAAACTTTTTCAATATACAAAGACATCCTTGTCGCTAAACACTTGAGTGAAATAACTAAAGTTCAGGTAATAAAAATATCCTTACTCGCCTATACTGAGTATTTTAGCAGGAAACTGTTTTTAGTTTGTACACCATCCAGCATTGTCTACGGATTTGTGTTCAAAATGTTACCAGCAGCTTAAAGCAGCCATAGATTTCAAGGAACAAGTACAGAAAGTTGAATCTCAATTGAAACAGATTGCAATGTTATTGAACGAAGCTAGTAAAATTCCTTATGTTGAAGTTGTAGAAATTGCTGATAGTAACAATTCTGTAAAAGATACAAATACACAAGAGGTAAAATTGACTTCAATATTATATATGTTTTGTCGAGCTTGTAAATCTTTTATTTAATATTAAGCTGTAGAATTTTGAAAAAATAAAGAACTTACTGTCAGCGATGATGTATTAATTTCTGACATATTATTTATTTTAGGCTTCTACTCAAACTGAAGAAGATTTACAATGTACAAAGGATAATGAAAGTGTTTTAGAAAGCTCTTCTGTTCAAAAGGGCGATGTAAGTATGGTATTATATACTATCTATGAGCTGAAAATTATCCAAATATTTTATGCTTTTAGAAGCTTCTTTTAATAAATATTAAATTAATGTAATAATATAATTATTTAAATATGTTTTAGACAACTGTAAAAATTGAGAATGATATTGAAAATAATCCTTCTAATCAAGAAGGTGATGTAAGTATATTATGTTGTTCTTCTGGAATTTGCAAAGTTTCATCTGGCAGCCTTATTTTGTAGTATAGTAAAATAATTTTTTTTTGTGTGTTCAAGAAAGTTGAAGCTCCCCCTCCAAGGAATCCATTAGCATGTTTTTATTGCGAGAAAGTATTTACCCACCGAAGTAATGTTTTGCACCACGAAAGGTCCATTCATACAAAGGAAAAAAGACACAAATGCACCATGTGTGGTATACTGAGTTGTTTATTCTTTATAAAGGAGTTAATTTAAGGAAAGCTTATTTTTAAGGTGCCGGGTTTATGATTAGAAGAATGTTAAGACGTCACATTAATACTCACCTGAATATCATGCCTTTTTCATGTGAAATTTGTAAGAAAAGGTATTATTCTGAGCACGATTTGAATAAACACAAGGTCAGGCACGATAGTGAGAGGCGATACATGTGTGATGTTTGTCCAAAGGTAATACAATAAAGGTATACAAACGTGTAGCAATAATTGTACTTGTATTACTCTCTCCAAGTTGGATGATATATGTATATTGACAGACTATGTCCAAAAATTTCAGAAAAAAATATAGTTTTTTAATTGAAATAACAGACCACTTTCTTTTGCCCTGGACAGACTGTACAGGGTGTCCAATTTTCGTGAGTTTTTCAGATGCGGTTTTCACACTGCTTTTCTATTTCCATACAATTCCATTGATATTATCATATTATTTCTTACAGAGATTCAAGACTTCTGGCAATTTGTGGCAACACAAACAAACCCATGGCGAAAAAACGTATCAGTGTGAACACTGTGGGTACAAGGCGACATCTTGGACGCTTCTGAGACAACACCAAACCTGCCATATCGGTATAAATTACTTTTTATCTACTGAACTTTTACATGATCTTACAACAGCACGTTGGGAATAAAAGTCCTATAGAAAAGAACTTAATAATTTTGTTTCAGTGCTACAATTATAGTGTTTACTAGGGCCCTGAGGAAAATATTTTAATTTCTAGAGGGTGGCTCAAAAAAGTTTGAGTGGAATACCCTCTATATTATTGCTTTTTTGGCTTCTGTGTAATTAATGGTATCATATCAGCGAAACCGTTAAAGATTTTAAAATACTTTAAATACAAAAAATGTTCATTTTTTAATTCTCCATCTAACAAAAAAATTATATACAGGGTATTCATTTAAAAAAAAAGAAGAAACATTATTTTATATTAGAAAATTTTCCATATAATTTTTTCATTTTTTTAAAGTGGGCTGTGGTTTAATCACGTGACTAAAAGTTTATTTGATATGAACTATATCTCGATAAATGGAAAAATGGACTTATACCACTTACAAAAATAACAGCTAATAGTTTATAAACTTTTAATGTGTATATATACGATTTATTTTTAGAGGTGAAAGAATTCGTTTGCGACATTTGCGGAATGAATTTTAAATCGAAGATTCGCCTCGTTAGCCATAGAAAACTTCACTTCGATCATCACAGTAATAAGAATAATGTTCAACCGAAAAAACGCAAATGTAACGTTTGCGAGAGATTTTTTGCCAACAAATATAGCTTACATAATCACATGCTGATCCATACGAATCAAAAACCACACCCCTGCGACATTTGTGGTAAAAAGTAAGAAATATTTCGCTTTTACATCGTACAGGGTGTGCCGAAATGTCCGCAACAAAAGGGATTTTTTTATTATCGAGTTAATCGAAAAAAAGTTGGTGCACCCTGTATATATTGTTGGTCCAGTGAAGGAATACACGACTTCGACAGACCACAACCATGAAAATACTGAAAAAAATTGTTTTGGGGTTAAAATGACGAGATAACTGTCACAGTCATGTATTCTTTCGCTGGATAAACTATATCTATATATGATCCAAGCATAAATTCCAAGTTTTAATAAAATTCTTTTCCAGATTCCGATTTAAAGGTAACATTAAGAAACACATAAACAGCTGTCATGGTAGTAATGAGTCCACACATAAAACTGCTGAATCTTTAATGTAAATTGTATGTTAAGAAATATAAGGTTTTTTAATATCAGAATTGTATTATTATCACTCTATATTAGAGATGAGACAAATATCCGGAATACTCTGGATAATATTATGATTTTTCATGCTAGTTATGCAATATGATCGAAAAAAAGGCGTCATCGAGGGCCATGAATTTAAGATCGCTGTCATTTTATATCTAAAATTATATGGGGTATATCATCGATTGTCATTTCCAAACCAACACCGTTTTTTTCAATCGTATGGTAGTTTATTATGAAAAAATAAATATGTTAACCTGTTGTTTTATTTGAAAATCATTACAGGAAAGAGATCTGCTATAAGTTTGGAATGGCCTAATTTTTATCAAGAGCATTGCAAAGAGACCACCAGAAGAGAATAAAAAAATTACCACCTTCTCACTCTATGATAAAAAAAAATGGCGTCAAAGACGACTTGGGAATGACAATCGATAATAATTTTGGCGAGGTCATCTCTAGACGTCAATTATTAAAAATTGACATAAAACTTGTCAAAATTAACACCAATAATTATAGAAATATTTAAAAAAGAATAGAATATAGAATAGGACCATGGAATAGGACGTTCCCAGACACAAAAATCTACTTTTGTTATTTCACTCAAGTGATTAGCGACAAGAAAATTTTTGAAAATGGAAAACGTTTTGGTTACGTTTTAATGAAGTCAAAACATTGCTTAACAAATCAGATACAGTCAAATACAGTTTTAAATACAATTGGAACAAATCTAAAGAAGTAAAAGTTATTTTTTGTGTAAAGGGTAGTATTTATTTCTGAATTGATTTTCTGGTTGCATAACTATTATCTAATTATCACATTGACAGATGGATAATATAAATTATCTATGGATATGGATATCTAAAAACTGTTTTCGTTTGGTTTTCGTTAACAAAAACTTTTATGTAGATTTTTTTGTAAACTGAATTTTTTGTTAGTGTATATAGTTTATTTATGTTACGCAATTTATATATTAACTGATATTAAGCTTAATATACATTTTTTCTATTTGATTCCAACCGAAATTAGCAATGTGCGATAAAATACAGTACGTTTCCGATTTCAAAAAGATTTGTAGGACATGTTTGTCCCCATTAGAAGCCGAAGACTCGTTTTCCATTTTCGAAGACTTTTTTGTGGCTAAACACTTGAGCGAAATAACAAATGTCCAAGTAATATTATCACATTTACTTGCCTGTACCGAATATCATACAATTAAAGTGTTTTCAGTTTGTACAGAATCCAGCATTTTCCACAGGTATGTGTTCTAAATGTTACCTGCAACTTAAAACAGCAATAGACTTCAGAGACCAAGCGCAAAAGGTCGAGTTGCAGTTGCAAAGAATCGCAACGTTATTAAAGGTATCCAGCCATGTTCCTGACGTTGAAGTTGTAGAACTGGTTGATAGCGATAATTCAGATGAAAATGATCTGGATTTAGATACAAAATTGGTAAAGTGGATGTTAACTGTGTACATATTTATATAATTGTACTTATTATGGTTTATTATATATTTTAGACCAGCAGAGAACCTTTAGAATCTATACAATATCAAAATGACAATGAAGTTATTTTAGAAAAATTATCTAATGAAGAGGATATGGTAAATAACATATTAAATATCTGTACATGTACTGAAATTTTTAAAATATTTTGTTTTATTGTAGTGTAAAATAGAAATCATAGAAGATATAAAATATTACAATGGAAGTGAAGTTGTTTTAGAACAACCATTGGATCATGAGTATCATGTAAGTATGATACTAAATACATATTCAGGAAGCTCTAAAATACACTGTATATTAATATTTTTAGTATATTCTAGGTTAAAACTGATCCCTTCAAAGATAACAGTGTTGATGAAATTATTTTAGAAAATGCATCTAATCAAGATGAGTATGATGTAAGTACATATAATAATGCCAGAAATACTCACAGAAAGATGCATGTTTTAGATAATAAAAATTGTATGTAGTAGATTTTATTATATAGATAGTTTGTTTATTTCAGGTTGATGTAAAAATGGAAATTGACATTGGGAAAACAAAGTTCCATCAAGAAATCATTGTAAGTATTGTTATTTCTTTTGTGGGTTCACACATAGTTCACACCGAAAACATACCCTATGATCGAAAAAAAAACCGGCGACAAAGATGGCTGGGGAATGAGAATGAATGCCAAAAAATGATGCCTTTTTTTTCTCGATAATATGGTATTAACAGTGATAATAATTTTATATGTACATTTAAGGAAGAGGAAACTAGAACAGAGCCAATAAACACAAATGTATGTTCGTTATGTGGCAAAAAATTTAAGTCAAAGAATAGCTTACAAAAACATGAAAGAGAAACATGTTATACAGTTGATAAATCGAAATGGAAAAGGGGTCCGAGCAAATCGTTACCTTGCTCTTATTGTAACCAGGTATTTATTTACGAGGGGTGTTTGTTAAAACATGAAAGAACCGTGCATTACGGAAAGAAAAAAAGACACTCGGAAACATGATTTATCTTAAAAAGGTAACATGAAAAAAGGAAAGAGACTGAGAGTCGTTCTATGATACGATCGAAAAAGAAACTGCATCAACGAAGGCTATGAAATGAAGATCGCTGTCATTTTATATGGAGAATGTCATCGATGGTCATTTCCGAGCCATTGGACGTCGTTTTTTTTTTTCGATCATACGGTATTATTATTATAGGGTCTTCTACTGAATTCTTGTAAATTGTACAATAATGATCGAAAAAAACGGCGTCAGGGATGGCTATGAAACGAGGATCGCTGCCATTTTATCTGTAAAATTATATTGGGACTGTCATCGATCGTCATTTCCATGCCAACTGGACACTGGACGCCGGTTTTTTTTTCGATTATACGGTACTTTAAGAAATATATATAAAGTTTTTTATATGAAAATTTGTATATTTTTTTTTATTTATCGCTATAAAAACCTTTGTATATTACAAAATGTTTACGTTTTCTTGTGGTTTTATTAATTTTTGATATAAAATACACGGAAATGACTAGTTTCCTACCTTCCTTTGGCTTAATTTTCAAGTTCTAGACAAAATCAAATTATGTTTTATCAAGAAAGAAGACCCAAATATAATGTACAGATAACAGAACTAATTATATAATGAAATAACTTAATAATCGGAGTTAATCTTTTTTATGATATTTTTTAAACTTTTATAAAAAATTATAAATTATAACTGATACGCGTAAAAAACTATTTTTCCAAACCCATCCCTGATGATTACCACTGATATTGACAAGTATAATAATGTATTCTATTAATCTATGGGTACATATAAACTTTGGCTAACTAGCTTTGACTTTTTACTTTTTTGTTTTTCATTTTATGTTGTATAAACTAAAGTATAAAGGGTATAAACTAAATATATTCTAGTCAAGTTCTAGACAAAATCAAATTATGTTTATTTGTTATGATTCTGGCTGATACATATACTAGAGTTATATTGAAGCAAAACTGTGGCTTCTAAATCCTAGCAATGTCTCATAAAATTCCATATACTTCGGATTTTAACAAGCTTTGTAGGACATGTTTGAACCCATTAGATACACAACAAACTTTTTCAATATACAAAGACATCCTTGTCGCTAAACACTTGAGTGAAATAACTAAAGTTCAGGTAATAAAAATATCTTTACTCGCCTATACTGAGTATTTTAGCAGGAAACTGTTTTTAGTTTGTACACCATCCAGCATTGTCTACGGATTTGTGTTCCAAATGTTACCAGCAGCTTAAAGCAGCGATGGATTTCAAGGAACAAGTACAGAAAGTTGAATCTCAATTGAAACAGATTGCAGTGCTACTAAACGAAGCCAGTAAAATTGCTTACGTTGAAGTTGTAGAAATTGTTGATGGTAACAGTTCTGTAAAAGATACAAATACGCAAGAGGTAAAATTGACTTCAATATTATATGTTTTGTAGAGCTTGTAAATCTTTTATTTGCGTAGCACTAAACTATTTAATATTAAGCTGTAGAATTTTGAAAAAATAAAGAGCTTACTGTCAGCGATATACATACATATATGGACAACAAACTCTAATATGTATTAATTTCTGATATATTATTTATTTTAGGCTTCTACACAAACTGAAGAAGATTTACAATGTACAAAGGATAATGAAAGTGTTTTAGAAAGCTCTTCTGTTCAAAAGGGCGATGTAAGTATGTATGGTATTATATATCTATGAGCTGAAAATTCTTTTAATATTAAATTAATGTAATAATATAATTATTTAAATTTATTTTAGGCAACTGTAAAAATTGAGTATGATAGTGAAAATAATCCTTCTAATGAAGAAGGTGATGTAAGTATATTATGTTCTTCTAGAATTTGCAAAATTTCATCTGGCAACCTGGCATATATTATTTATTTTAGGCTTCTACAGAAACTGAAGAAGATTTACAATGTACAAAGGATAATGAAAGTGTTTTAGAAAGCTCTTCTGTTCAAAAGGGCGATGTAAGTATAGTATTATATATTCTATGAGCAGGAAATTATCTAAATATTTTATATATACCTATGCTATTAGAAGATTCTTTTAATATTAAATTAATGCAATAATATAATCTTTTTTTTTTTTGTTATTGCTTAGCTTTGGCTATAATAAAGGATTTATTATTATTTAAATTTGTTTTAGGCAACTGTAAAAATTGAGAATGATATTGAAAATAATCCTTTTTGTAATGAAGAAGGTGATGTAAGTATATTATGTTCTTCTAGAATTTGCAAAATTTCATCTGGCAACCTGGTATATATTATTTATTTTAGGCTTCTACAAAAACTGAAGAAGATTTACAATGTACAAAGGATAATGAAAGTGTTTTAGAAAGCTCTTCTGTTCAAAAGGGTGATGTAAGTATGGTATTATATATCTATGAGCAAATATTTTATACCTATGCTATTAGAAGATTCTTTTAATATTAAATTAATGTAATAATATAATTATTTAAATTTGTTTTAGGCAGCTGTAACAATTGAGAATGATATTGAAAATAATCCTTCTAATCAAGAGGGTTATGTAAGTATGTTATGTTCTTCTAGAATTTGCAAAATGTCATCTGGCGGCACCCTTATTCTGTAATATAGTAAAATAATTCTTTTTTTTTGTGTGTTCAAGAAAGTTGAAGCTCCGCCTCCAAGGAACCCACTAGCATGTTCTTATTGCGAGAAAGTATTTACGCACCGAAGTAATGTTTTGCACCACGAAAGGTCCACTCATACAAAGGAAAAAAGACACAAATGCACCGAGTGTGGTATACTGAGTTGTTACTTTATAAAGGCGTTGATTTAAGGAAAGCTTATTTTTAAGGTGCTGGGTTTGTGCGTAAAAGAATGTTAAGACGTCACATAAATACTCACTTGAATATCATGCCTTTTTCATGTGAAATTTGTAAGAAACGGTATTATTCTGAGCACGATTTGAATAGGCACAAGGTCATACACGATAGTGAGAGGCGATACATGTGTGATGTTTGTTCAAAGGTAATACAATAAAGATATACAAACATATTACAATAATTGTACTTGTATTAGTCTCTCCAAGTCGGAGGATATATGTATATTGACAGACTATGTCCAGAATTTCAGAAAAAATTATAGTTTTTGAATTGAAATAACAGACCACTTTCTTTTGCCCTGGACAGACTGTACAGGGTGTCCAATTTTCGTGAGTTTTACAGATGCGGTTTTCACACTGCTGTCCTATTTTCATACAATTACAATAATTGATATTATCATATTATTTCTTACAGACATTCAAGACTTCTGGCAATTTGTGGCAACATAAACAAACCCACGGTGAAAAAGCGTATCAGTGTGAACAATGTGGGTACAAGGCGTCATCTTGGATGCTTCTGAGACAACACCAAACCTGCCATATCGGTATAAATTACTTTTTATCTACTTAACTTTTACATGATCTTGCAACAGCGCCTTGGGAATAAAAGTCCTATAGAAAAAAACTTAATAATTGTGTTTCAGTGCTACAATTATAGTGTTTACTAGGGTCCTCAGGAAAATATTTTAATTTCTACAGGGTGGCTCAAAAAAGTTTGAGTGGAATACCCTCTATATTATTGCTTTTTTGGCTTCTGTGTAATTAATGGTATCATATCAGCGAAACCGTTAAAGATTTTAAAATACTTTAAATACAAAAAATGTTCATTTTTTAATTCTCCATCTAACGAAAAAATTATATACAGGGTGTTCAATTTAAAAAAAAAGAAGAAAAATTTATTTTATATTTTAGAAAATTTTCCATATAATTTTTTCATTTTTTTAAAGTGGGCAGTGGTTTAATCACGTGACCAAATGTTTATTTGATATGAACTATATCTCGATAAATGGAAAAATGGACTTATCCCACTTACAAAAATAACAGCTAATAGTTTATAAACTTTTTATGTGTATATATATACGATTTATTTTTAGAGGTGAAAGAATTCGTTTGCGACATTTGCGGAATGAATTTTAAATCGAAGATTCGCCTCGTTAACCATAGAAAACTTCACTTCGATCATCACAGTAATAAGAAGAATGTTCAACCGAAAAAACGCAAATGTAACGTTTGCGATAGATTTTTTGCCAACAAATATATCTTACATAATCACATGCTGATCCATACGAATCAAAAACCACACCCCTGCGACATTTGTGGTAAAAAGTAAGAAATATTTCGCTTTTACATTGTATAGGGTGTGCCGAAATGTCCGCAACAAACGGGATTTTTTATTATCGAGTTAATCGAAAAAAAGTTGGCGCACCCTGTATATATTGTTGGTCCAGTGAAGGAATACACGACTTCGACAGACCCCAACCATCAAAATACTGACAAAAATTGTTTTGGGGTTAAAATGACGGGATAACTGTCACAGTCATGTATTCTTTCGCTGGACAGACTATATCTATATATGATCCAAGCATAAATTCGAAGTTTTAATAAAATTCTTTTCCAGATTCCGATTTAAAGGCAACATTAAGAAACACAAAAACAGCTGTCATGGTAGTAATGAGTCCACGCATAAAACTGCCGAATCTTTAATGTAAATTGTATGTTAAGAAATATATAAGGTTTTTTATTCTATTATTATCACTCTATATTAGAGATGGGACGAATATCCGGAGTTCTGTGGATAATATTATGCTCTTTTATGCTAGTTATGCAATATGATCGAAAAAAAAACGGCGTCAGCGAGGGCTCTGAAATGAAGATCGCTATCATTTTTTATGTAAAGTTATGTGGGGTATGTCATCGATCGTCATTGTTCCAAGCCAACTGGACGCGCCTTTTTTTTTTTCGATGGTATGGTAGTTTATTATGAATAAATAAATAATGTTAAGAACTGTTGTTTTATTTGAAAAATTATTACAAACAAGAGTTTTGCTATATCTAAGTTTGAAATGGCCTAATTTTGATCAGGAGCATAGAAAAGCCAAGATATACATAAATCAACTACCCTCTCGCTCTTATACCGTATGATCGAAAAAAAAAACGGCGTCGGAGACGGCTGGGGAATGACAATGGATGATAATTTTGGCGAGGTCAATCTATAGGCGTCGTTTACTAAAAAAATACATAAAACTTGTCAAAATTAACACCAACTATAGAACGATTAAAAAAGAATAGAACGTTTTTTTTAGAACGAACAGAAATCTATTTCCAATTTTGAACTACAACATTTAAAAATAATTGTTAATCAATATAAAAATACATTACAATTGCCAAAAGCGCCACTAAAAAATAAAGATCAGTACGGGCCTAGTAAATTACATCTAGAGCTTGACCTTGCCAAAATTTATCATCGATTGTTATTCCCCAGACCCCACTGACGTTGTTTTTTATATTATTAATGACTAGCGTGTACCAGCGACTTCGTTCGCGTCGAATTAATCATTTGTAATGGTGATGATAAAGCAAAGCAAGAATTTCCATTAACATACAAACTGGATAAAATTTTCTCACATTTATGTCGGCATGAGAAAAAACAATATGGCGATATTATTATATAACTTGCATGGTAATATTTGAGGGGTAGTTTCATCTCGTTGGAATTTGACTTTTGAAAAATCCGTTTGCCAAAAATAAGCTTTTTACGTCAAGCAGAATCGTGGTTAAGAAATTACCCAACTTTTTGGAACACCCTGTATGATTTTTAAAAAAATTTCAAAATATGTAAAAAACCAAATAAATTATGCTTGTCCAAGCGTTTTCCCGAAAGACTAACCGTTTTTTAAATAACAAATATTGTAATATTTGAGGGGCGTTTTCACCCTCTTGGAGTTTGAGATTCGAGAAACCCCTCCTTACCGAACCTCTACACCCCACAGTCAATCCGTTTGCCAAAAATCAGCTTTAAACGTCAAGCAGTTTAAGTAGAATCGTGATTACTCAATGGTCATATTTTATGAAACACCCTGTATAAATTTATAAAAAATCTTAAAATATGTAAAACAACAAAATAAAATATACGTGTTTAAAAGTTTTTTCGAAAAACTCACCGGTTTTTAAATAGAAAATATGTTAATATTTGAGGGATAGTTTCACCCCCTTAGAATTCGAGTTTCGAAAAATCCCTTCTTATCGAACCTCTGCACCCTAAAGTCAATCTGTTTTCCAAAAATCAGCTTTTTACGTCAAGCGCTTTAAGCAGGATCGTGATTAATCAATGACCAGATTTTTCGAAATACCCTGTATACATTTTAAAAAAATCTTAAAATATGTAAAAAAACAAAATAAAATATACGTTTTTAAGCGTTTTTCCGGAAACTTGACCGTTTTTTAAATAAAAAATATTGTAATATTTGAGGGGTCGTTTCACCCTCTTGGAAATGGAATTTCGAAAAATCCCTTCTTATCGAACCTCTACACCCTAGAATCAATCTGTATGCCAAAATTGAGCTTCTTACGGTGAGTGGTTTGACCAGGATCGTGATTAATCGGTATGTTAGTCACTTAAGGATTTTATATATTAGCACAGATAACACATAATAATAATAAAAGATTATGTGTTATCTGTGATATTAGTATAGTTGTCAAAAAAACGACTTAGGGCCGCTGCAATGATGTCTCGTAATCCTGTTGTTAAAACATAACAGCTGTTTTTTTATGATTATATTATTAAAAATTATTTTTAGCGTCTTTTGTTAAAAATGAGAAATCTTCTTTTATATTATGCTCCTAATATAAATTAATAAGCTATTTCAAACTTATGGCAAAACTCTTTCTTGTAATGATTTTCAAATAAAACAATGCTTTTTAACATTTTTATTTATTCATAATAAACTATAACTAGCGTGACATAACTTAATCTTAACTCATCCAGAGTACTGTAAATATTCGTCTCATCTCTAATATAGACTGATAATTAAAAAATAATAAAAACAATAATATAATTTTCATGTAAAAAAACTTATAATATGTATATTTCTTATAATACAATTTACAAAGATTCAACAGTTTTGAGGCTAGTCATCTCATTCCTATCATGACAGTTGACTTTATGTCTCTTAATGTTACCTTTAAATCGGAATCTGGAAAAGAGTTTTATTAAAACTTTGCGAAATCCTACCTAGATTGTATATAGATATAGTCTGTCCAGCGAAAGAATACATGACAGTGACAGTTGTCCCGTTTTATTTTCCCGAAACAATTCTTGTCGCTATTTTTATTGTTGTGGTCTGTCGAACTCGTGTATTCTTTCACTGGACAGACAATATATACAGGGAGCGCAAACTTTTTCCGAATTAGCTCATTTTGGCACACCCTGTTTGATCTAAAAGTGAAATATTTCGTACTTTTCTCCACAAATGTCGCAGCTGTGCGGCTTTTCTTTTGTATGGCTCAGCATGTGCTGATCTAAGTAATTTTGGCAAGAAAAATGTTTCTCGCAAACGTTACATTTAGGTTTTTTTCACGTGAATGTCCTTCTTCTTTCTCTTGTAATTACCGTGGTGGATACTTTTGTGATAATAGAGGCACTGCTTTGTCTTAAAATCTTTTCCGCAGATGTCGCAAATGATTTTTCTCACCTCTAGAAAATAAATCATATATTATGTTCCTGATAGAAATCTAAAATTTCAACTTGAGAAGGCAAATTTTATGTATCTCTTCATTTTTATACAGGGTGTTCTTTAATGACGTGCCAATATTTAATGGGTGATTCATGGACCGATTGTAAGGAAAAACTTCATAATATGATATGAATGTATGACCTAAACATCTTAACGTTTGAGATACAGTTCGTCTGCTGGATCTGTGTTTATGAAAGGAATGCGGACAAAAACATTTAAATAAAATGAGCAATATATTTTATACGTCGACTTGACGAGTACGTCACCGCAAATCGCTCCGCCCACTCATTTTATTGGCTACTTGCAAATTTGTCGAATTTTTATTGATGGGACGCGTCGTCTAATTTTTGACGAAAAACATCGAGAGAATATCGTTTCCCCTCTCACGGATACCCCGTAGCCACAGAACGGACAGACGTATTGTACAGGGTGGTAAAATTTTCTAAAAAAAATGATTTCATAATAAATCAGTCTAATAACTCAACAGTCGAAGCAAAAAGCTTGTAGCTTCCCTGATAAACAATTTAAACGAATAATCTTCATAATGGACTAGTTTTTGCCAATATGTAAAATAAGCTATAAAACAAATAAATCAGTTAATTGCTAAAATATTAGTTATTAAATTAAAAATAAAACGTAAAACTCTTTAAAAAATTATATAACAAATATATTGTTTGTCAATTTTAAATTAAGGTTCATCTCATAAATTCATCACAATCTGGCAGCGCTGTCGCCATCGCTTGTCACTCAAAGTTAATCACGTGCAAAGTTCATCAGTTGCGCCCCGGTGGTACGAAAGTACTACCATTGCACGCAGGCCGCTATCTCCCGTTCGGGACTTAATATCTAACCGACATTTTCCGACAAGTCGGAATTAACTATCTCTGCGTTGTGGTTGTCATTTTGTGGATCTGCTCCAAGAACAGTAAACTAATAGGATTGCTCATCCTCTCATAAGACGTACGTTCGCCTCTTTCCCGCGCTTCAGCTGACAGTTGTGACGTCATTGTAGTCCCTTGTCAAAGCCTTCGTGGCCTTGTCATGATAGTGTGTATTATTAGTTGCCTATGGTAAACTTATAAAAATAACAGCTGAGAAATTTTGAGTTAATTATTTTGTCAATTTTAAATGTGAAAAAGGTGTCTTTAAAGTTTTTAGAGCTATAGAGTGTATAAATACGTTCATTTTGTGTTGTGGATTGTGACAAAGTGCATACTAGTGCCCACGATTTTGTTTTATTAATTATTTTAAAGCAAAATATGGAAGTACTCAAATAAGTAAAGTATTTTCTATACTGCATACATATAAGGTGTTTAAATAAATAAACTAAATAATGAACGTTTTGCATTCGGCAACCAATAATGCACGTGTGTGTATTATTGGTTGCCGGATAAGGACTAATAACCATGACAAGGACTACAATGACGTCACAAAGCGAGTAGTTTTCGCATGCACCTGGCGGACACTTTTGGCTGAATGAACAGTACTATTCGGTTAACTGTTCTTGGATCTGCCCAAGCTCACCTGATGATGGAGTAGGGCTCCGAAACCGGTAGTGAGAGCAGGTTGACCCACATTATGACAAACACAGCGTAGAATTAAATTTCTATATAAGCAGTTATGGCAAGAATCCTTATATAATTTTATTATATACCTACACTGCATGAAATTTGTTTTCTATTTTATAATATCAGTTATTATATATATATATATATATATATATATATATATATATATATATATATATATATATATATATATATATATATATATATATATATATATATATATATATATATATATATATATATATATATATATATATATATATATGAAAAAATAGATTTTTAGAAAATTTTACTCACCCTGTATCTCAAAAACAGTTTAAAACGTTTAGAACTCATATTTCTATTAAGTTTTTTTCTTAGTTTCTTAGAATAGGTACAGGAATCACCCCATTAAATATTAGATTATCCCGATAATTATTAAGCCATTTCAAATTTATGGCAAAACTCTTTCTTGTAATAATTTTCAAATAAAACAACAATGGTTTTTAACATATTTATTTATTCATAACAAACTATAACTGGCATGAAATGGCTTAATTCTCATCCAGAGTATTTCGAATATTCGTCTCATCTCTAATACAGAGTGATAATTAAAAAAAAAATAAAAACAGTATAATAGAATATATTCATGTAAAAAAAACTTATATGTATATTTCTTATAAACAATTTACAAAGACTCAACAGTTTTATGGCTAAATTCATTACTATAATGACAGGTTGCTTTATGTCTCTTAATGTTACCTTTAAATCGGAATCTGGAAAAGAATTTTAATTAAAACTTAGCGAAATTCTTCACAGATCATATATGTTTGATATCAATTAAACTTTTAGTAACGTAATCGAGGGCGCGATTTTTAAATTCATTGTTGCCAACCATGGACATATTCGGCGCCGGGCTGACTAACTGGAATTTAAATTTCGCGCTGGAGATTCAGGTGGTAGCTCTGCTGTAAAAAATGTCAAGTGGCCGCATTTATTTATTTATTTCCTGACATTGTCATTCGTTTTGACACTTGAGTCTTGTATTACGAGTTTTAAATAAATAGTATTGTGGTGCGTTTAAGCTTAAAAAATGTTTACTAGCAGACCTTGCAGTCGAATATTGTTCTTTTTAGAATTTCTTTTAGTGCGAAGTGTACAAGATAGCTTAATAGCCGTAAAAAACTTATCGCAACTTTATTAGAATATTTTGAACGGAAAGTAATGGTCATTTATGTCGCTTAAGTGCCGTTAAGAAAATGGGTTTTGTTGATATAAATAGAAACTGTTGTATATGTTTATGATTAATTTATTTTTATTTCCTAAAATATTTTGATTAAAAGAAAATAAAGTGGGGAACGCTGTGCCGGTCAAGCTTAATCACGTGACTAAAAGTTTATTTGATATGAACTATACAGGGTGGCGCACCTCATTCGCCTCTGTTGATTATACGAAAACGGAAAAATGTAGAAACAAAATATTTTATGGGTACATGTGGGAAGGCAATGTGCATAATTTAAAATTATTTTGAGATGTACAGAGTTTGTCAGAACTAAGATCCATACCAAAGTTATGTTTTTTCTTTATTTCATTTTTGGATTCTTGGGCATAAAATAAAGCATTTATTATAAGGGTTTAATATGTTTAAAAGCTTTGGTTTTTGAGATATTTAGGGGAGTTAGCCTGAAGGGTTTATGCTCCAACATATCCAAATAGGAATTTTCTTAACAAGCGTTCCTTTGAAGAACAACTTATCCTATTTCGCAGAGCTGATAGTGTGGTATATGAAAAACCTATTAGGCAGAAATCTGTTGTTAGAAGTGAAGAAAAAGAATTTGCCTTAATCGGTTCTTTTATAGAAAATCCAATATTTCTAAAAATCATCGTAATATAAATAAAAAAACTAGTTTTTTATTTTTCTTGATAAAATAATAAATACTTACTTATTAAACTATTGTAGGAAAATTAAATAAAAATAAACTGTTATAAATTTAAGTAAAGTCCATAAACTAATACCGATTTTGAAAATGGCTAGTAAGTGTCACTAGAAAATTGCCATGGCGACACCAGCCATCTTGATTACAATTTTATTGAAAAATCGCATTTTATTCCAAATCTGAGCCAAATAGGTATAGAAAACCCTAATACAGTTTGAAAGAGCATTTAAATCTGCTTCGATTTATTTTAAAAAATACAGGGTGTTGTATTTGAAATAACGAAGTTTTTATGTAAAATAAATATTTAAAATAGACAAGCAATTTTTGAGACCCCTGTATACGTTTAAGGAAGCAATAATTTTTTTAGTAAAGTTTATTTCCCCGGCTTCAAAGTCAGCACAAGAATTAACTCTGAAAAATAAAGTACAGGGTGTTGACAAACTTTTTATTATAGCATGCATATTTAAATATCTTTAAATATCTCAAAAACTAAAGCATTTAAACATATTTAACCCTTATAATAAATGCCTTATTTTGTGTCCAAGAATCCAAAAATGAAATAAAATACCGGGTGTTCCATAAGAAAAAATATAACTTTGCTAGATCTTAGCTCTGACACACCCTGTACATTTGAAAATAATTTTAAATTATGCACATTATCTGTCTCACATATACCCAAAAAAATATGTTTCTACATATTTCCGTTTTCGTATAATCAACCGAGGCGAATGAGGTGCGCCACCCTGTATACATATAGTCTAACCAGCAAAAGAATATATGACAATGACAGTAGTCTCGTCATTTTAATACCAAAACAATTTTTATCGGTATTTTTATGGTTGCGGCCTGTCGAAATCGTGTATTCTTTCACCGGACGAACAATATATACAGGGTGCGCCCATTTTTTCCGATAAACCCGATAACTCCATTTGTTGGGCGAACATTTCGGCACACCCTGTATAATCTAAAAAAGCGAAATATTCCGTACTTTTCTCCACAAATGTCGCAGCTGTGAGGTTTTTCTTTTGTGTGGCTCAGCATGTGCTGGTCTAACCTAAATTTGTGCCCATAATGTTTCTCGCAAATATTACATTTATGTTCTTTTGAAGAGAAACATGTTAACTTTCTTATCTTAAAAATCAATCATATATAAGTAAAAACTGTATATACAGGGTGGTCTGAATTGTGTTTTCGAAGGAAACTTTGTAGCATATTCTACATTTTGTAGAATATGTAAAAGAAACAGTAGAGGTTCATTTTTATTTCGATTTTTTCCAAATAATTTCTTCAATTTCAGTCTTTGCCACGAGAAATTTGATTTTTTGATATGGACTTTTTACTTATTTTTTCTGCAGAATATGCTATCCCTAAGTTTTCCGAATACCACCCTGTATATTGTATATTTAGTAAATAACAAGTAATTTATACCCATATGGCTGACAAGATGGTGTTTTAGAAGCGTCACAGATGTCGCCTTGTACCCACAGTGTTCGCGACTCTGATATTTTTTTCGCCGTGTATTGCTCTATGTTGATAGAAATTGCCAGCAGTCTTGAATGTCTGTAAGAAATAAGATAATATTAATTATTGGAACTGTATAAAGGTTTTAAAATAAGTATAGAGTATATTATATTTTTAGACAGTTCAATAAAATAAAAAACAACAAACTCTACTCATAAACAAGAAAAACCCTATAAAACACATGAACATGGGACACCCTGTACAGTCTGTCCAGCAAAAGAAAGTGACAGGTGACAGTCTGTCATTTTCATTTCAATAAAAAAATAATTTTTCTGAACTTTTTGGATATTGTCTGCCAAAATTCTATATCCACCTCACTTGGACAGACTGATATAATAATTTGTCTATTACCTTTGAGCAAATGTCACACATATATTGTTTCACATCAGAATGCTGAATCTTGTGATTATCCAAATCGTGCTGGGAATACCTTTTCTTACAAATTTTACAGGAAAAAGGCTTGGTATTTGTGTGCATATTGATATGACGTTGTAAAAACTTCCTGCGCATAAACGATTTATCTTAAAAATGAGAAATGATTTTCATTAAATCGTATTCGTTATAAAATAACAAATCAGTACCGCACATGGTGCATTTGTGTTTCTTTTCCCTTGCGTGAATGGCTTTTTCATGGTACAAAACGTTACTTCGGCTTTTAAATTCTTTCCCACAATAAGAACATGCTAATGCTTTCCTTGGAGTTGGCGCTTTACCTTTCTTGAACACAAATAAAAAAATTAGGTTACTGTATCACAGGATAAGGTTGCCAGATGAAATTTTGCAAATTCTAGAAAAACAATATAATATTATACTTACATCACCTTCTTGATTAGAAGGATTACTGTCAATATCATTCTCAATTTTTACAGTTACCTAAAAGAAATTTAAATAATTATGTTTCTATTACAAAATTTAATACTTATAGAATATTCTAATAGCATACTAAACATACTTACATCATTTTGAATGTTATATGTATCTTCCTCAAATTCTATAACACATTCATTATCATTTGTACATTGTAAATCTTCCCTCATTTGTGTATTAGCCTAAAAAAATAATAAATAACAATTTACTACATGTTAGAGCTGTACATCATTAACAATATACTGTTTATTTTATAATTCTACCGCTAAATATTAAATATTTTACACAAACAAAAGGTCTACAATCTCTAAAAACAAAAAAATTGAAGTCAGATTTACCTCTTCTATATTATTATCTACATTATTCTCTACAGAATTATCACTATCAGGCTCAACAATTTCAACATTTGGAATTTTACTGGCTTCATTCAGTAATATCACAATTTGTTGCATTTGAGATTCAATTTTTTTTACTCGCTCTCTGAAATCTATCGCTGTTTTTAGGTGCTGATAACATTTCAAACACAATTCTGTAGACAATGCTGAATGGTGTACAAACTAAAAACGTTGTACTCCTATAATATTCGCTATAGGCGAGTAAAGGTATTTTCATTACTTGAACTTGTGTTATTTTGCTCAACTGTTTAGCAATAAGGGTGTCGTTGTACATTGAAAAAGTTTGTTGTTCATCGAATGGTAACAAACATGTTCTACAAAACTTTTTAAAATCGGAGGTATACGAAATTTTATCAGACATTGTTAATATTCAGAGATTACAGTTGCCGTTTTAATACAATTAAACGGTATAATATTTAATATGTATCGACCAGAACAATTTTATTTCCGTCAACACCTTGGATTTTAATATGTTTTATACTATTACCAGATTTCAAAAACATTTAAAAGCTTAGTTTAAAGCCCCGTTCTCAGAACTGCGACTGTCGCCAGCGACACGACAAAAGAACCAATCAGATTTGTACAAAATTCAAACAGCTGTCAATTTTAAATTTAGTACAGCTCCCATTGGTCGTTTGAAGTGTCAATCAGTGTCGCTGTCGACACGACGCAGTTCTGAGAACGGGGCTTAAAGCCCCGTTCTCAGAACAGCGACTGTCGCCAGCGACTGTCGCCAGCGACACGTCAAGAGGACCAATGAGATTTGTACAAAATTCAAACAGCTGTCAATTTTAAAATTTAGTAAAATTTTTACGGGCTTTCCAATCTAAACTTGTTGCATTTATCTATGGGATTGATTGACGTATTCAATTATTTTTGGTCACTTCCTGTTTCACCGGAAATGACTGCAACTTTTGATTTTTAAAGGCACCCTCGGTATATTTTTACTTTATTCGATAGGAAATGACACTCTGAATAGAATAACATATCATTCGTCAACTTTTGACATTTTCGCTTAAAAATCGTATTTTAAATTTCAATCTAGAGTACCATGGCTGTGTTAAAAACACTAATTTTTAATAAAGGAGCCTTGGAAAAATAGATTTGATCGTCTAAAGTTTTTCGTGTTTTGTCCTGGCTGCTTAAAAGATGCCCAAATCGTATTTTTAATTATTTCTCAATTTTTTCAAATGGAACAAGGGTGGCTCATCAGCATATTTGGAAAAAGCATTTTTTATGAAGAATTTTGTACCACACACTTGGTATTTTGAGTCAAATTGTAGTTATGAACCGCATATAACAATAAAAAATTTAAAATAAAAAAATCCTTTTTTTTCTTTTTTTATCTATTGAAAACGTGCAGTTAATTGCCCATTTCTGAGAAGAATTTGATCAAATGAAAATTTGAAATTTTAATTTTAATTCTAAAAATAGAAACGATGTCTATAAACTCACTCCAAGACAATAATTAAAACGATATAGACACTTCGTAATCCATTGCAACAGTTGACACAATTATCTCAAAGAAATAAAAAGGTACAAAACGATACTTAATAAATGAATATATTTAAATTATAAGATTTGTTTTTGGGTGGTACTGTGTTACTGTTTAATAATAAATCATCCTTTCACTTGATAAATATGATAAATATCTTGCTATCTATAGATACGATTGAATGCAACAGTTTTTAAAGGGAGTTGTTATAATATTTTTACTTACAGCTGATATTCTAGATAATTCTTATTGTTACATCAGGTAACTTATTCCAAAGGTAAATTAGAACCTTTGCTCTAAAAATTATGATTTTTAGTCTATAAACTTCAAAATAAAAACAGAAAAATTATACAAAAGAACATTATTTGTAACTTGGCTTAAATAAAATACTCAAATGAAAAATAGTAAGCTAGAAAATGATTAAACATGAAAATGATACAAATGAAATAAAATATACAGGGTGTTCCTTAATGACATACTAATATTTAATGGGGTGGTTCTTGGACCTAATCTAAGAAAAAAAAACTAATAACATTTCTTCCTAAATCTGAAGAAAATCTCTTAAAAAGTCTAATTGATAAATTAAAAAAGAAAATAAAAATATTTTAAGAATTTATGTCAAATTAAGTACACTTTCAGTTATATAATATACCTGCATTAATGTTAATACAGCCTAACCAAAATGTAATACAGCTCAGGTGCAAGGAAGAAAATTGGGCAATTTAAATTTTATTTAATGGATAATAAGGAATAAAAAATACTTACCAATTTTTATTTTAAATTATTTTTTAATCTCTAAATTTATTTTGTAAATAATTACTGTTAGGAAATAAACGATTTTTTTCAAATTCAGTCAAAACTTAAATACATTCATTTCACATACATCTATAAATTGTTCTAAGATATCCTGTAGGTATCGCAGTTTATTATGAAATAACGCACAGAACTAAAAATATTGCTTTGTTGTCTGTCATTTTAATTCGTATCTAAATTATATTTTCTGTCATTTTTTAGATGTCTGTTTTCCCTTTCTCGTAGGACAAACTTTAGATATTAGTTAATATAAAACATATTCTATCAACTTAAAATAAATGTTAAAGTTTTTATTCGATAGAAGAAATATCCTTACAATTTCTATTTATATATTTGTATAGTTTATATAGATATAAATAACGCCTCATAATGTTAATCTTAATGCTAATCTATGTTTACTTCTTTTTTTCGCAATGTTCTGTCAATAGCAATTTTTATTAAAAAAGCAAGTCATTTTATATGCTAAACTAGTTAAATGATATTTTTAAACAACATTATAAAAAAATATACACTTTGCATACCTAGAACATGACATTTTTACACGTGTAAAAAACGTAAAAAACATATGCGTATAAATAATATAATCGGAATCAGTTTATAGTGTAATAAGTAATAACTGCTGGTAATTTTATAGATTATATATTTCGTAAACCATATTCCAAGTCATTTGCTTGACTTTTACCTTGGTTATAATTCTTTAGGTGTTGTTGGAGACTACAATTTGATTTTTATTTTAATATAATAATAGCTCCCGTATATAGCGTTTAACGCCTTGGGAGTAGCAAGGTACAGCTTGCCACACTAGAGCCGTTCGGTATACAAGGAAGGTAATGTGGCTAGCACTACGCTTCAACCGCCTATTATTACCTCAGGATTGTGAATCCCAAGTACTCATTTAAGGCTGAGTCGACCTAGGTACCCAAACTATTTTTATTTTAATAAAAATAGTCGGTTGATGCAATGCCGGGTGTGGGAATCGAACCGACTACCTTGAGATTGGTAGACGAGAGTCCTAAACGTACCTCTACGCCATCGGGCACCTTGATTTTTTTTATTTTTATTTTAATGGAAGAGTAAATAAACTATTTTCAATATCTGGCCTGCAATATTTTATAATTTAAAAAAATTAGGTAAGGTAATTTTCTTTAGATTATATTAGATTTTTGAGGTGGTTATCAGTCTGTTCCATTGCGACCTTTTCAGATCTCTTGTGGTCCTCTTCTGATTCTTAGGTTACATTCTCCAGACCTGCCCTTCTCAAAAAGTCTAACAATTTGGAGGCTAAACCCTCCATTTAACTCTTTGTAAATGATATATCAGTGATTATACAATGAAGTAAAATTGTATGACCGAGGTTTCCTCGAATGATCATCCGATTATTGCAATCCTCGAGGATCAATACTCGAGGAATAAAATCATCTAATTTTTCACAACACTAGAAAATTTTATAACCGAGGATTCCTCGGATGATCATCCGATTTTTGAAATCCTCGAGGATCACTCGAGGATAAAAATCATCCGATTTTTTCCAACACTAGAAAATTATATAACCGAGGATTCCTCGGATAATCATCGGATTATTGAAATCCTCGAGGATTAAAATCATCCGATTTTTTCCAACACTAGAAAATTTTATGACCGAGGATTTCTCGGTCATCCAATTATTGGAATCCTCGAGGATCAATACTCGAGGATTAAAATCATCCGATGTTATCTAACACTAGACAATTTTATGACCGAGGATCAGAGTTCGGAAAACTACATTACTTTTAAAAACTACATAAACTACATTACATGTAGTTAAAGTAGTTTATGTAGAGGGTGTAGTTTATGTAACCTATGTATGTAACTTTCAAATATCAAAGGTTTGAGGTGAGGTTATAATAAGTTGCAGCTTTAAAAACACATGATGTATTTAAGAAAACAGAAGAAATATGGCTTTAAATATAATATTTACATCATATTATCTCTATTACACCTCATACAAATGAAAATTATTCATAATACCAATACATAGTTTATTAACGTAGTTTTCATGTAGTTAATGAACGGGAAAAGACGTAGTTTTTGAAGAAAAACTACACGTAGTTAATCAGGTAAATTACGTCTTAATTAACTACTTCCGAACCCTGCCGAGGATTCCTCGGATGTTCATCCGATTATTGAAATCCTCGAGGGTCACTCAAGGATTAAAATCGTCCGATTTTTCCCAACACTACAAAGAACCTCAGATTTTCCAGACTGCCGCACTAACATAAAATATATCTGCCTTTTGTTTTTCAAATTGATAAAATCTGCTCAAAACTTCATCCGTCAATCCCACCAGCTTTAGATGCTTATTAAGCTTAAATTGCCCTGTTAGTAGAGTATTGTAATTATAGTTCTTTAACTGACAGTACTCCTCGAAGTGTTAAGAACTGAACCCGCTGTACAAAGATATACCTATACAATACCTACTGTTATTATTTGTTGGTATGTTAATAATCATAATTTTTAAATGATTCAGCACCATTCAACTCAATTACAGTCATAATAAATTATTATATTCTACTAGTAGCAAATTAATGAAATATAGACCTCCATTGTGCTTAGAACATAATAAAAAACACAGTTAAATAATTAGGTATCTATTTTAAGTATACTTTTGTGGTAGGTTTATTAAACACTACCGTGAATCCCATGTAAATTTTAAAAATGTCAAATATTATCTCCCCAGATAATTTCATACAAAAGTTGAATTACACTTTTTTGAAGAAGCGTTAAAGTTGTACTTCCATCTAGAATTTCGTTTCATTTGGAATCGGTATTTAAATTAATTTTAATTTTTTTGTTTGCAAAAATCTACCTTTAAATTCAACATTTTATAATACGGCGAAGAGAAAGCTATAATTAAAATACCAGCAAAAATGCGAGATTTTGTCATATGGAAACTATGTCATATGGAAGCAAAACCTGTGTGCCGTACCACCGGCACAAAGTGAACTTATGATTACTAAATACCGGCGCTGAAGTCATGATTACTAAATCTCGCTTAAGATGGGCTGGCCACGTATGAGAAACGCCAAGAAAACCGCCTACCGAAATTTCTTCTTTACGGTGAGCTTGTAGACGGTAAGAGGAAACCGGGTGGACAACTCAAAAGATACAAGAATATTTTCCATGAAAACTTAAAGGGGATAAGTATACAGCAGCAGCGCAGTGGGAGGAAGTAGCGCACAATAGAACGCAATGGAGGAGAATTGTAAACTCAGTTAACAATGACAACCAAAAAGTAAAGAGGCAACAAAGTAATGAGGTTTTTGAATGTCCGGAGTGCGGAAGAGAAACAACATCACGTATCGAGCTTTTCGGTCACAGAAAAGCACATGTAAGAAAAAACACAGAACGCTGAACAGGTGATAGGTGGTTTAGATAGGTGGAGCAGATGCATATGTAAAAATCCAAATTTCCAAGAGTCCTATCACCGGTAAAAAATAATCCATATAGTCTAAGCTTCCATCGCCGTGAATCACTCTGTATATTTTACCCATATTACATATAGAAATATACAGAAAAATTGTCTTAAATATGTTCAAAACAATGCGGAAAATAGCATTTAATATAAAATAAAAATGTAGTTGTAGGAAATGTAGAGACAAAAAAGGTCGAAAATAAAATAATTTACAATGACTTTGAAAAGTGAAATATAATCTTGACCCAAAAATGATTGGTCCTTAAGCTTGACTATAAAAATTATTTACCGCTAAACGTTAATTTATATTAAATAAATATTTAATTAAAAATTATTGTTTGAACTTGTTTTACTTTCATTTTAATTACGTTTTAAAGCTATTAGTTATTACAATATGAGGATATGCCTTTTTCTTTTTGTCCTTCTTTGTAATTAAATTATTTTAAGTAATTCTTTAAAGAATTTGCATCATATAATATATTATATTATATTGGTAATCGCTAGAGAAAACCTTCAACAATACTTTTAAAAACAGCAATTATAGTGGCAAATTATATACACTACTAAAAAATAAGAATCTACAAAAACATATTTTTTCTTAGAAATTATAAATAAACAAAAAATAATTATAATCATAAATGAGTAGAAATAAAAAATTCTACGTAAAATATATATACAGGGTGATTTACGCTGATAATATTAGACGTTTATGGAGAAATCCAGTAGGTAATATCATTTTTTTTTAATTTTGATTTGAGCAAATCTACAGTATGTCCCCGGATTCTCTTTGCAAGAGGAAAAACTTTTTTATTATTGAGATTTTGAGAAAAATACATTCTTCATAAAAAATTTTGCTTGTTCAACGTCATATAACGTTATATACGTTATTTTCCGATAACTATATACTCATAGTATCACTCTTTCCATAGCTTTGAACTAAATCATGAACTATGGAGGCTTTCAAAGGCCTTTTAGCCTCCATACTATGAACTAAATAAATGCTTCTTTAACATTTTAAAATAGCAAAAAATATGACGTTAATAATTAAAATTCTGCAATTCTGTCCAAATTTTCAAAAAAAATTTAATCGCTGGTTCTCCATAAACGTCTAACCTACATTCTACCGCGAATCACCCTGTATATATGCTTCATAAACATGAGATAGACTTGATATTATGAAATATTCAGATTGATGTACTGTACGAATTATTTGTTTTTTAAATACTTTTTGCAACAAATATTTAGTAAACTATTTTTCTTCTCATTTATAATTTTTTAATTTACTTCAGTTAGTTGAAACTTTCATTAGTTAAAATTGCAAATTAATATCCTTATTAACCTATTGTGATCTTTAGAGAGAGAAAAATAATAAATCACATACACGCTTTAATTTAATTTAAATTGACAGGTTCCGCGGTTTGCAAACGACAATAGCAAACGGCGAAATAAATAATTCAATTAACTATATTTTCCTGTCAATTGTTCATGCGGGATTTCTTTATGCACCTTAATTTTGCGGTAGCGCATCTATTTTACATCGGTTTAAATAAATTTATAACGATTTTACAGCTTCACATCACACAATGGAAAGATATATTATTTTCTGGGAAATTGCGAAATTTGTTTTTGAAATTGAAAATTATTACTATTGCTATTCTTGTTTTTTTTTGTTGTTGTCTTTGTCTAATAATTAACCATAGATTATAATTTAAACTTTCTTCTTTTGTTTATTTTTTCTTGGTATAGGCTGGATGACTTATACAAGTTCAAGCCATTTAAGAAAAAAGAAGAGAAAGTCTATGTCAATCTGTGGTTGAGCATGCTTTGAGCTATAAGTATAAAAAAGAAGAAGAACATTGTTTTTATTCTGTGGTTGTTGTTCTTTTAAGGCCTGAAATGCGAAAAAGAAGAAGAACGCCGGTAGCGCCATTATGGAAAAAGTGAGAAAATTTTGAACTAAAGTATTTCCAAGGTTGCCAAAAAATTAAAAACATAAATTAAATTGAATCGTTACTAAATCATGATGAATCTAATAAACGTATGGTAAAATCAAACTCTGTTTTCAATAGACTAATTAATATATTTTCTTCTAGATATAGAATTATTTACAAAAAATTACCATTCTGTTTTGCGTGTGTTCAATTTGACAACGTAGCCAGTTGCCAGTACGACCTGAGTACGACATTTTCCGTTGTTATCAAATAGTCTTTTTGTCGCTCTTGAATTTTTCTGGTTTTTGATAGAAAAAATGATTTTTCTGTGTACTATTTGAGTTTATTCTGTTCCTTAAGGTCTGTTTAATCTCCTGAAAATGTAAGTAACTATTACTTTGCCTGTTTTCTATAGAGTTTTCACTTTCAAATATTTCAATTACATCATCAGAGACGTCATCATTTAAAAGCTTATATTTTTCAATTTTCATAATTTTCTTTTTCACAATCGGGTATATGGAATTATAGATACATTCCTTGATGTCTCTATTATACAATAACAATAAAGTTACTTAAATATTGCTTCATATTTAGAAATATTGGGTATTTGTTTTTTCGGTCATTTTTTTGGTAGAGTTTCAAGATGTTTTGTTGGTAATTTTTAGGTGTTTGTGCAGGCAGTCAAAGTATTTTTTACGTCTTTTAAAATAAGTCAGTGTTAGTATACCTATAGGTGTCCCCCATTTTCCACAATTACATAATATGTACTTTCAGATTGAGAAAAATGTTTTTCAGTTTTAATATTACATGTTGTCGTCATATGTTAGTTAAATTTACATTGTTTTAATATAATTCTTTAATTATAATTTTCTTTTTTAGGAGTGTTATTAATAATACACACCCAGCACATAAAGACCACCTAAAAGAAGTGGCCTGGGTCACCTGTTATATAATTCGGATGTTTGGCTATCATTCTGGTTTACGAGAGATTGGTTTTACATTATCTGGTGAAAGGTAAGTTTATTTTGTTACTTAAAAACCATTTTAATAAATTTATTATCTGGTTAATTATTACAGACCATAACCATATTTTTTAAGATATATTTAATGTTAATATGAAACAAAAAAAAACAATTATTATAGCATACCTAATTAGTAAAATTAATAAATTATTTATTTATTTTTACAGATTTTCCACAATAAATCAATGGATGTATACAGTTGCAGGGTAGTACATTTATCCTTTTCATGAATATTATCAACAATCCATTATGATTTTTGTAGAAGCATATTTAAAATTTTATTTCGTTTGGGTAAATATATTTTTACCGATCTTTAATGTTCATCAGTGGATTTTATCATTTTTACATTTAATTAAGTTATTAATTAGTTACGATATTATGGTTTGTTATTATCATAGACAAATTCAGTCTGTTTATTTTTCTTTTGGGCCAATTTTTGCCTTTTGGTCACTTCTCTTTTTTTGGTAGAAAATTTTACTTCATGTTGTTTTGGGTTTACTTTCTTATATTTTTGATTGTGGGAATAATATCATTTATCAATCCTATTGAATATCCCATTGACTGTATTTCTCTAGATTTTATTTGATTGGTAAAATATACCACCTAGTTAGAATTTATGTTCATGTTGTTATTAGTTAACTTTTATTTCTTTATAATAGCTTGATTCCCATATATTCGGCATTGTAGGTATACCATCATTCATCAATTCCATAAAATATTCCTTTGACTGTATTTTTATAAGCTTTCTTTTATTTGTATTATTTTTCTTATGGTGTCGTTCTTCTAATACTCCTTTTTGATTGTTTAATTTCTTGTATAGAATTTTAGTTTGAACGGATTCATTTTCATGTCATTTACATATTTCAGATCATATGCCCTGAATGGCAATTTTAAATATGCAATAACATATTTAAAAATCCTCAGCTTGTCACCGGCTTTTCTAAAAATTTTCCAAAGAATTTTCCTGAGTAACATCGACTCCAGAGCATCATAACTAGCCTCCCCTAAGAGGAGGAGACCCGGGTCACCCCCTAACCCTGATGTTCGGCCATCGATGACCTATGTAGCATGCATAGGTACCCAAGGGAGTCACCACCCTCTGGTTTACGAGCTAGGTGTTCTAACGCTAGAGGCTTCGGCCGGATACGACCTGGCACCCAAGCTACGAGACTTCTTCGTGCACGTATCCCGTGACGACTCGATGTCGCAGGGGGCGGGATATCGGACACATTGAAGATGATGAGGGGGGTCCGCCTGTAGGGGATCTCGGTGGATGTCCGCTCGATGGGTGACGAGGGTGACCCGAGACGAGGCTGCTTAGCTGGGATGGGAACTGACTGGTGAGGCTTAATCGTCGGTCAAGGGTTAAATCTGATGAAGGGAGGCGAACTTATATGCTCTGGAGGATTTTTTCTTATGTGCTTGATGTCTAATTTTGACTAGATATTCCTGAAAGGACGCTAAGCGTAACCTTTTGTTTATTTTGCTTTATTTTCCAGTGTTTATTGACCACATACCTCTTATTTTTTGGCTCTTTCCACTATTTTTGTCTTTTATATTTTCTTTATTATTATTACAATATCATTACTCGTCAGTGCTATAAACTCTTCCCATGATTGTCCTTTTTTGTGTCATTCTTCTGAGATTTTCCTAAGACTTATTTTAACATTTCTATTGCCTGCATAGAATTATAATTTTTTTATTCGTTTTCATTTCATTTTTTTTCCAATTCTCTCATTTTCATGCCATTTTTTCAAGATTTTTTCAATGCATCATAATTCTATTTCATATTTTTTGTCTCCCATATTTTCTCCCTTATTTGTATGTCATTAATCAATTCCATAAATCCTTCCATTGATTATAATAATTCTAAGTCTTCTTATATTTATATAATTTTGTGTAAGTCATTATTCTATGTCAAGATTTCCTTTCTCTAAGCGTTTAAGCCTTTTATTTTTAGAGTTGTAGTTTTGGAATAATTTTCATGACCTTTTCAATTCATCATACCTTTTTACCTCAATTCGCTATACCATTTTATTTTTGTTAAGTATAATTTTTTTTTCATTAATTGTATTTCCAAATCTCCTCTTGTATTTTAATTATTGATTATTTTACTGCTACTCTTCTAAGACTTCTAGGTCTTTCTATTGTCTACATAGAATGTATAGTTTTGGATTCATTTTCTCATTGGTTTTCTTTTCATTCATTTTCTAATTCTCTTTAAAATTAAGTTTTTCAATGGGATATTGTACTGCTTTGGAACAAGGATTTTTTGAGACAGCTACACTTCAATTCAACCACGTTCTTGGTGCTATTAGATTGATTAAATTCAATATTCAACAGCGGATTGGGAATGAAATTCATCATTAACGAAGAAGCTAATAATTTCAGGTAAATTACGCTAAAAATGTTTATTATTAATAAATAATGTAAAACTTAATGTGTATGAGTCTAAGTTAGTCTAACTATTTTTTTTTTAATTTTCAGATCACCAATTTTTTGGAAATAATTCTATAATAACTGCAGCTGGTACTGGTACTTCTATTTTTCCTGCATTGGACACTCCACCAAGACACATCTGAAGAAGATTTTTTGAAGAAGAAATTGGTCTTTACTTTTTTGGAAATTGTAAAAGTAAAAATTTCAAACGTTGAATTCTGTAATTTATACATAAACTTTTTTAAATATTTAAGTTAAAAAAATTCTTGTATCATCAAGAATATATTTTAGCAGATTCCAATTGTATAAAAATACAGAATTCAAAACTATCAAAATTTTAATTTCTTTTTTCAACAGTTTCTTGGAACTTTTATTAACTTTACACTGTGCAATCAAAAAGTTTTCTGGTCAAGCAGGCTTTGACCATTGATAAATAATCATTTCTATGGAATTGCATTAAAATTAATATAATTTTTTATACTCCAAAGAATATTACGTTATATTAGTCGAATACCATTTATAATAATTATTGGTTATAGATAACACTTCTTATTAAATGTAATATTTTAGTTAAGTTGTAATACAATATGATCGCAAAAAACGGCGTCAGCGAAAGCATTGAAATAAAGATCTCTGTCATTTTACATGGGGATATGTAAAATTATATAGGGAATATCATCATGTTTATTTCCAAGTCCCCCAACTGAACGTCGTTTTTTTTTTCGATCATACGGTATATGATAATTATAATATAAAGCCTACCAAATGCGCAAAAAAAATTAGTCTTAAAGAAGTAAAAATATAAAATATGATCAAAACTAGGGGCGGATATGATTATAATCATAAAGTAAAAAACTATTTTTTACATATAACAAACATTTTTTTACACAAAAAATTAGTTTTGTTACTATCAAAAACAATCTAGCTCATTGTTATGTAAAAAAACTACTTTTTAACATAGAAAATTCCTAGTTTTGTACAAGGTATATTTTTACGTTTCACGAAAAGCTTCTTTGAAAACATGTTAACTGTTACTACAATGTACAGCAGATACCATACGATCGAAAAAAAAACGGCGTCAAGGATGGCTTGGAAATTAAGATCGCTGTCATTTTATATGTAAATTTGTAATGGAAATTTCATCAACTGTTATTTCAAAGCCAACCAGATGTTTTTTTTTTTCGATCATACGGTATAATTTATTCATGTTTAGGCATTTTTTCGTTAATATATTTTCTATATTTTGTGTAGAAATCTAAATACTATATGATCGAAAAAAATGGCGTCTAGTAGGCTGGAAAATGACGATCGATGATATTCCCCATATAATTTTACATATAAAATGACAGCGATCTTCATTTCACAGCCATCGCTGACGCCGTTTTTTTTATCATATTGTATAAGCAGAAATAATATAAAATGTATGTATACAGGGTGATTTTTAACCTATATATAAACTTGGGAAATTATTGCTCATGGCAAATAATGACTAATAATGAAAAAAAAAGTTAGTAAAATATTATTGCAAATTTTATTTGCGGAGGTAACAAACTATTTGAAATAAAAACAAAAAACGTAAATTCCATCAAATTGAATGTGCATTTACTGATAAATTGATAAATTTTTGTGAAAAAAAAACTCAAATAATTTCAGAATCTAAAAATATTTTACTAAAAATTTTTTTTCATTATTAGTCTTTATTTGTCATCAGCAATAATTTCCCAAGTTTATGCGTATAGGTTAAAAATCACCCTGTATATATTATTGAAGGAAGAGAAATGTGGGGTATGTTTTCCCTTTTCACCCAAGTTTTTTACATTATTTATAGTTTTTTACGTGTATTTTTCGCCGTAACCATCCCTGATCAAAACGTTTTATAATCATGCGTACTTTCTATTGACAAATAAACAATACGTATGGAAATAACGTATGATCGAAAAAAACAGCGTCAGCGTTGGCTATGAAATTAAGATCGCTGTCATTTTACATGTGAATTTATATGGGAAATGTCATCGATCGTCATTTCCCAGCCAACTGGACGCCGTTTTTTTTTCGATTATACGGTAGCAGTACCTTCATTTTTAAGGATTAAAGCCCACTTGATCATAAAACTTAGATCTTTTATACTGTATATTAGTTTAACAAATTAGAGTAATCTGCATCCAGAATAAATTTATTCCTATTTAGATTTAGGTCTATCTTTGTCAAATATATGTATACGTGTCTATATTTTTATTATGAATAAATAAAACTATTAAGATTAATTGTTGTTTTATATTTCATAATTACTACTTACATCTATAATACACCAAGGGATACAAGTTTATCTCCTTACCCTTATATTCTCCTGATAGTAATCGGAAATTTTGTTGATATAATAATTTTTTCATTTGAAGTTCGAATATCCTCCTGAAAGAAAACTATGATTTTGGACAAGGATTAAAAAATCTAATTTTCATTAAAGCCTGAAAAATTAAGAGTTTATACCAGGAGTACATAAGGAGGTAAAAATAGTTGATAAATGGCAAATGTAACTGGGTCTGCTCCTGGTATCAAAAAATACCTCTTCGCACTCATATGTTCCTGATACAAATTCAAGATTTCTCCGCTTTTTGACAAAACCCACCAAAAATAATTTCGCACTGGCAAATAATGGAGCAACTGACCAACGAGTTAGAATTGCTAGATTTTTTTGGAAAAACGGCCATAACTTTCAAACTATAAGAGATATCGAGAAACGGAAGACGGCATTCGATTGGCCTTTCAACCCTCTATAAGGGTGCAAAATTAAGGCGCGATCGGAGACCAAAAAATTTTTCCGGCAAAAATGAAGTAAGGTTAACCCCTTACCTCATTTTTCGCCAAAAAATTTTTTGGTCTCCGATCGCGCCCTTGTTTTGCGCCCTTATAGAGGGTTGAAATGCCTATCGAATGCCGACTTCCGTTCCCCTCTATCCCTTATAGTTTCCGAGATATTAAGGGTTGAAGTTTTGAAACGAGGTCGAAGTGCTAGAGATAGCAGAAATACCGTTGATCGATGCTATATTTAAATGTGGTACAAATTTGCTCCTTACCACTTCGCTTTTATGTGCTCCTGATAGAAATCGACGATTTTTGACTCGGTTTAAAAATTTTCGTGCAGTCTTTGGCAAAAATTGAATTTTCTCGGATATGTACCAGGAGTACAAAAGTGCGACAAGGTATATACTTAAAATTTTCGTGCAATTTTTTTATTAAAAGACGAAATATCAGGAATTTTTATCAGGGGTATATTAAGAGTGAGGAAGTAATCGTAGGTATTATATACAAAATACTGGTCTATTCTTGAACAACTTGTTAAGTTTGTTTAGAATTAAAATATACTATTTCTTTGATAATTGTTGTTCATGATTAGACAGTATTTCTAATATATTTTGGTACAGTGAAACTCATTTATCATTAATTATAGTATATTAACATTATTTTTCATTAACAATAGTAATATAAAACGTATATTAAATCGAAGGTGTTGATGTACATGCTGATAACTATGTTGACGTAAATAAATCTTCTATCTGGAAAGTCTTGGTTCTGTAAGAAAAATATAAAGAAATAATTAATAAATTGTTCAGTA